AGACAAAGGCCTGGAGTTGTACAATACATAATTTTTTGCGCACTGTAAATTTTCTGCTTTTTAAATCTGAGTTTCAGACTACATGTGTCTGCTCGTCTTGTCGGATTATATCTCGCAGCACGCTTTTTTTTTGCAGTTTCAGCTTGTTTAGCTTTGTTTAAATACCATATCTATTTTTCATACGGATACAGGTAACCGAGTTCAAAAATTTTATTTTGCTCAATAAAAGATAATACTATTCCTAGCTAACAAAAACATTAACCTTATGGTTTAACTAATGGTTTCGTAAGCTTAACTACGCAGACAAATCAAATGTCTTTAGAAATACGTATTTGTCCAAATGTCGAATTTAATAACAATTGGAATTTGCGAACAAAACTTTTTGTGATGAAATTCTGCAGCCTCAAGTAGTGAAAAGAATTCCTCTAAATCTTTTCGAATAGGAAAATCATCCTCGGCTATTAAATGCTACTCACGAAAGTGATGTTAATAAAAGGTTAGGAACCGCCAGCTGTGACACATGGTATTTATGATGCTTCGCAAGAAAAAAGTGGGCTGTCTCTTCTGATTTCCTCCTTGCTGGCTAAATAAAGAGCATTTCAAGAGCCATAAGATTACTGAGGTGATGATCTGAGGTGTCGATCAAGTCTTCCTTCCATCGTGGCATTCTGAGCGCTTCCTCGCTTCTCCAAGTGTAAGACAATGGGACATCCTTCCGACTGTGTTCCTTCATTTTCACAGAGAATTGTCGGGTGCTGAGGAAAAATCAATGAAAAAAACTGATTTGGATAAATTTCAGAAAACCTTCGAAAAGGCGACCTGAAAGCAATACAGCGACCTAAATGAAGCTTTTCATTGAACCTGAATGTACGACTAAAAATAGGATTTTTTTCATTAGGTTGAAGATTACACGAATTGAGAAATTTCGGAAACAAAATCGCAAATAAATCGTCTTTTTAGGGGCATTTTAGAGTGCTTCTTTATAAGTGCTACCTTACATGGCATTTTTGAATCAAAAGGCTATATTTTTGTTCAAATACTATCTTGGCGTTGTAATGAGTTATCACAGTTGATGCTTTTTAAATTCATCTATTGAAGCGAAAAAACTTAGTTTTTTCATACGACTATACATAAAAAAACGCTTTTTCAGAAGCTTTCCAGCACATGTAATGCGAAATTTTTGAAACACATAATTTATACAAAATTGGCTTGGTGCTTTCCTTTGTATTGAATGCAAAGTCAGGGTTTTTGACTTAAAGCTTATTACATTTCAAATTTTTACACGCAAAATTTGAGTTTTTGTATTAAAAGCTTCCGAGACTTTTGCCGCTTTCTAGCTGGTGAAAAGCTAACGTATTACAACCGGTGACCGACTCGTTTTTCCGATAAATAGTTTTGATCACAGGGTGACTGAAATTCGGTTCATTTTAACTTTAACCGGTCATGATAATTTTTGCTCGGGTTTGCATCTCGAGTCGAAATTACAAACATAGATTTTAAAAATATATTTGTTTTTTTATTGTCGGGAGTTTGGATTTTGATTGATTTTTGTCAGCTCTCTTGCCGTGTTTTCAAGAGTAGTTAGCGCATTGAGTATTCGTAAATAGGTATTGGTGATTTTTATGGTATTTTTTTAACAGGAAAAAGTCTTAGTTTGTTCGCGCTCAAATTTGATTTTTCGCGGTTTGACGTAAGGTTTTTTCAGTTTCTTTAAAATTCAGTTTCTTTAAAAAGTCAAGTTGAAAAATGTCAAACTCTTTTATATAACAGCAAATGTGTACAGTTATGAAAACCGTGATTGAATTTTTGTTTGAAAGTGGCTTTTAAATTGCAGATTTTCCAGCGGAATATAAAAATTACCTATCGGTTCAGTTTTCTCAAATTGTGTCATTTTTTTATCAAAGTGTCAGCGCCATTTTGATAGGCATATGAAGATTTTGTTATGATTTTACTTTCAGCACCGTAGATATAGCTTTGTCTGCTGTTAGATTTTATGCACCAAAAGTTTCCGTTAGGAATGAAATTTTGAGTTTCTTTTTTTGGCTGCATGGCTTCTAGTTGTCCTTTAAACTGAACTTTTGGCAAAGTAGCATCTCACTTTTTGTTAGAGCATAGTTGTTTTAAGTTTTTTTTAAAAGTGATGACACTTCGCATTTCATCACAAATCGATTCAAGGTCATTCCTTATTGAGGTTAGGGAAATTGACAAAAATGTTTCAAAAGATGCTGTTTTTTTTCTCACGTTTTTTTTTTTAATTTTCAACTGAGTTGAACTTCGTCTGGTTGAACTTTCATGGCAGTTTTTACGCTTTGCGTTATCAAATCGTAACAGACTTTTTCAAGTTTACAATTTATTCGAGAGTGAATCAATAGGTTTCTTGGTTTATATCAAATTGAAATCAAGTGTCTGTTTTTGTCTGTTAGTTTTGAGGTTGCGCTTATGCTGGGTTAGACAAAGGCCTGGAGTCGTGCGATACATATATTTTTTCGCGCACTGGAAGTTTTTTTTAGTCTCAGTTTCAGACTACCATGTGTCTGCTCGGTTTGTCGGGTTTTTTCTCGCAGCACGCACTTATTTGCAGTTTCAGTTAATTTAGTTTTTTTTTAAATACCATATCTGACATTTGTAATGATAAAGGTAACAGAGTTCAAGATTTTATAAATTCAATTTTTTTTTCAAGGTGTCTTCGCCTTGAAAGATTTCGGCTCATGTTAAATCGGCTCGGTTGTCTCATAATACGTCGTTTGCCGAGCAAACAAAGCTTTACATGCTTTGTGTGTTATAAAATTTGTAATTTAATAAATTTTTGTAGCTCTAAGTTTTTATCACCATTTTTTTCCGGCTCCGTGGTGTCGAGCGTCTAGCCAATCTTTTCTGCTTATTTACCACCTGCAAAATTTTGCACAAGTGATATTTTAACAGTGGTTTTTAAGTTGATTTTTCGGCGTTTTTTGTTTTGTTTTGAATGTTTGTAATATAGCTCAAAGGGTACAAGGCTCTTGGCTGCTTCTTTTTTGAATATTTGCGTAGAGAGCTAGGAGATTAAACCAAGTGTTCGTTTGAAAGTGTTCATTTTGAAAGTGTTCATTTTGATCAATAACCAGCTACTAAGTACAGGCAATGCTAAAGATATGAACACAGACTATTATATTACAAATAGCCTTTTAGCTCTAAGGTATCATGGATCTGTAGCTTAGAGTTAGGGAAAGAGACCCGCAGCAAAATAAGGGGGTTCGAAGCTTGGCAGGGTCTCATTTTTTAATGAAATTTTTCTTACGCTCGATAAAATGCATCCGCCCTATAAATTGAGGCATGTTATTTGGTAAATGTCTTTTTTTAAATTGACTGGTACTGCTATGCGTCATAATTGGCTTGCATCACACAAAGTTTTACTCATTCAGTAGCGTTATCGGTCATATTTTTGCTTGTGTATGCGAAGTTCAACTTCGCCTCGGTGTTAAAAAGTTGTCAGTGTTGCGCAAAAATTTTTGCGCAAAAATGTTAGAAAATCAATTTGAAGAATTTTTCTGTAGTTTTTTTGAATGTTGTTGGAACATTGCTATTCTTGTTTGTGCTTTCTAAATGTTAGCGAAACTTTTAACGAACACTGATTTTTCTCTTTGTCTGTTTCTAGTTTAAGTTGACCCATTTATGCAGTTTTTTCACATTGGGTCAAATTTTTTGAAACATTTACACGATCCACTTTTTGCGAGTTGGTTTAATCTGTTATATATTTAAATGCCGGTTTCACTACCTCGTCATGTTTAAGCTTTTTCAACGTATTATTCTTGCATGTTTAAGCTGTATCCTATATTGCAATGCTTATGAATATTTTTTGAGTTTCCGGTTTGAATTCAATGTTTATTTCACTAAGTTTGAAATTATCAACCCAATAGTGGGATGCTGTCAGGTCAGGGCTTGCAAATCTTTCTTCTAATTATGACTGCTCAAATTCGACTGCTTAGGTATTGGGATAAGACGTTTTTTATGATTTATTCAGAAAACTTCCACAAAATTTTGAGTTCCCAATCTTGTACTTGGATGCTCTCAGGATGCCTCAGGGGTTGCTAATGGTTTTAGTTTCCGAGAAATGACGTTTTTGTTTTGATTTTTTTTGAGTTTCAAAAAACAGATCTAAAAAGTTTCAAAGTTGGATTTTCACAACTCTGTAGCGGGGTGCTGACAGGGTAGTCTCAGAGGTTGCGAATCTTTCCTCCAAATGTCACTGCTGAATTCCCTTTTGTTTTCAAGTTTTGACTTTTCAAAATTTTCACAAAAGCTTGAATTAAAAAAATGGAAAAAGTGAAACTCCAACCCTATAGTGGGGGGATCTCATGGTAATATAAGTGGTTGCAAACAGGGCCGGATCTAGGTTTTTCTCGAGGAGCGGATTTTCAAAAAATTGTCGACTTTTTTTAGGTCGACCAAATTGATATACCGAACTCTCCCAAAGCATTAAAAAGACCCTGTTTTGATCAAATTAGAACAGGGTCTTTTTTAGGTACTTATTGGAAAATATTGACCAAAAAATCGCACTTTTTAGGCGCGCGCTGCCCCATCAAAATTAGTTTACATTGGCGCCTTCAGAAACTTTTCAAGGTCCGTCACCAAATATGGATTTCTCAAAATAGTACAAAGGGGACCCTTTGGGTCAGCAGGGGGTGGAATCCGTGAGGGGGAGCATCCGACCCCCTAAATCCGCCCCTCGTTACAAATTTTGCCTCCATAATTGAGTACTTGAGTCATCTTAGTTTCCGAGATATGCAGATTTTTATGACGAGTTACTACCAGCGATTGCAGATGTGACCTCTATCCTTGCATGCTAATTATATTGAAAAGTGTCTTGAAATTTAAGCGCTTTGAGGAGACGAATTTCGTAGATTGAGCTCGAAACATGCATCAAAATTCAAGAATGGTATTTAGTTTCTCCTCCGTATTTTTCTTTTCCACGTGTGTGATGGCTATATTTATTATTATTTCTGACTACTAGCTATGTTCAGGACAATCCATGGTCTGATCTACAATGCACTGAAGCTGTTGATGGAGATGAACCAGCGTCTGTTTGATGAGTGTGTGCAACAGTATAAGGAGGAGAGGCGGAAGGAGAGAGAAGCTCTTCAGAAGAGAGACACTGCGTGGACTAACATCTTACAAGCTGCCAAACAGAATCCTCAGGTACAATTAAAGTACTCCAGAGTTGGACCAGTGTTATGGATCAATCAAAATACTTTGTTCAATCTAACAATTACGTAACAGTTAAGAAAATCATGCATATTTCCTCACAAATGAAGTTTAGGATGGTATTTATTAAATTTTTTTCGAATTGTTTATACTTTATCTGATTTCTTCACACCTCGTAAACTCAAAGCTTTTCATTCCAGTGGTAAAAGCGTGACACTGTTTAAACAATCCCAAATAGCACTCCTCTGTTTGGCGGATGTTCGTCGAAAAACCACCATATTTTGAAGCCAGATTTACATCAGAATCAAGTAATAATTTGCTAACAAACTGACAACTTCTCATGTTGAATAACACTAACTTTCGGCTTGTTGGAATGGTAAAAAATTTTTGGCTTGTTGGCCTCTCACCACTCTTCTATCTCAAAGGGTGCGTCGAAAAGCATGCTCGAATATTAAGTCTTGGGGCTCGGTGCTTCCTAAGTCGCCCGGGTTACTTGGCGCATCTTTTATTCTTTTTAAATGGATCCTATGTTTATACCATTTTTATTATGCGTGATCACACATCTCATTTTTTTTAGCCAGTGCTGCCATAATTAATCTTTTTATAACGTATCAATGCTCTGTATTTCAACATGATTGAGCTATGTCAGGGGCTTTCTATCTATACAAACGAATTCAAGTGCTACAGCTACGCAACCATTATAGAACATCAATACGCATATGACGATGTAATGTAGCAATGAGCCATGTCTTCATATCAACGCGGTATATTGTTTGTCTCTTTTTAGGATTTGTCTGGTTGATTTGCAATGAACATATTTATTAAGGTCCTAAAAGGCTTATAAATGCTATTTCATTGCTAATAAACATTTAAAAAAGATATTTATTCACCAGACAGACATGTTGCAACTTTTTGATTTCAACGAGCAAATGAACAATTTTTTCTTCACATTTTTGTCGTTTTCTCTGCAAGTTTTTAAGATATAAGAGTTGAAGTTTTGACACATGATAAATTGAACTCCTTAGAAGGACTTAATCAAGACAAATTTGAAAAATCATGTTTTGAGGATATAAATTAGCCAGTATATCATAACGGGTTTCAGAAGTGTTATTGCTATGGAAATATCATCGCAAACAACTCAAGAAATTTGAATTTATGGGCTTCAATTGAGTTTTTGGGAAGCTTGACGAGCTTGACTTACTATTTATGTCGCCAAAATACGGCCGATAAAAGAATAAATTGATTTTATTTTGAGTATTAAATTGCCAAAATAGTTTAAACTACATTAAACTGCTTGTACAATATTTAAGGTTCTGGGAACAGAATAACAGTTATAATTAAAAGTTCCATGAACTGCTATTAAATCTTGCAAACGGAAAATTGTAACTGGATCTTTGGCCTTTTTACACAATGGATTCCAAACTCTATGGGAGCCTTATTGTTTATGAGGTTCTATGTGGTTAGAAAGTTTGATAAATTTGAAGCGGAAGCTACTATGATTACACAAGCATAGCTTGTGTTATCCTATGAAGTTTTCTTTTTTTCCAACCTAAGTCGCAAATATTGTTGCGATGCAGTTGTTGCGACAAAATGTGTTCATTTTGAAAATGTTCGTTTTGATCCAGCTATTGAGTACAGCCAATGCTATGCTAAGGGTTTTAACACAGAGTATTATATTACAAATACCACTTTAGCTTCAAGGCATCGTGGATGTGTGGCGTAGAGGTACGGAAGGAGACCAACAGCAAAATAAGAGGATTTGCTTTTCGGATATTAAAAATTTCTTATTGTCGGACTATAGTTGGTATGGTTTATTTGTAGACATTTTTTGATCCAATCAGTTTTCACGATAATTGAAAGTAATTTTGATTTCCAAGTTTCGATGAAGATTAACGAAGTGAACCACGCATGAAGGTTTGTGGTGATCTGTTTGTTCAGAAATTGATTTTGTTTGGTAAAATAATGGGGAAGGCCTTTTGACATCAAATGTGTGCGTTTACGCTGAATTTGTTTTCTCTCAGTGATTTTTGCTATTCGACTGCTGATTTTTTTTTGTTGAGTATCAAAATCATTTGCTATAAGAAAGGCAACTTACATTCTTTAATTTTGAAAGTATAAATGGCATTAGAACTGGGATTGATTCTCAGAAAGTGGGTTTTATTTTTAAATGTCGATGAAGGTATGCTCTATGCTCTAAAAATCTTCAAATGGTTAAGTTTATGATGGCTTCATGGTATATATGCACTATTTCAGCTCAATTCAATTTCATTATCTAAAAGTTTGCTAAGTTGCGCTCTCCAATTACGAAAGCTTTAAGGTCACGAAAAACTTGATCTACTTCTAGTTATCAAAGTGGAATTGTGTTTTCAGATATCCTAGAGGAATAAAAATTTACCTATTGACCCAGGTTTTTTTTAAATTGAGCCAATTTTATCGAAAAAGTGTCAATCATTGAAAGTTCTTGAATTTCAAATAGCTGTACAGCCATGTTTGTTTAATTTGGAAATAGTAAATTTTAAGTTTTCAAAAAAAGTTATTACCTTCAAACAAATCAAAATTGTGAAACTTTGACCGTTGTGTAGAAACTTTTTGACTTTACTCGAAAACTTCCGGGCCGATTCTCGGGTCAAACGTCAATCGAGAAGCCCGTTTTTGGGAGTCATCTTTACTTAAGCGGCCACGACCTACCTTCTGCAGAAAAAAATTATGGATTTCGGAAAGCCATGTTTTCGAACTTTTGACCGTATTCAAGTTTTTCTTAAACACTACCTATCAAATCTAAGATCAATCCAAAGAATCGGTTGCGAGAATTTTCCTGCAGAAGCGGCGACTTCACCTGCCAAATTCACTCTTACTTATTAAGAGTAATGAACGTATTGAGTACTCTTATAAAGATCTTGCTGATTTTTTTTTCAGGAAAAAGTTTTGAAATTTGTTCACGCTCAGTTTTGATTTTTCGCGATTTGACTTGTGATTTCTTTTTAAGTTAAGTTCTGTGCATTTCTATTGTTTAAATGAAGCAAAACTCCACTATCGAACAGCAAAATTGTAAAGGTCACAAAAAATTTGATCGTTTTTTAGTTTTGAAAATGGAAATTATCTATCCCAAGGAAATAAAAGTTTACGTATTGATGCAGTTTTCAAGTTGGGTTAGTTTTAACAAAAAAGTGTCCATCATTATAAAATTCCCCAAATTCAAAGATTTTTTAGGCCATCTATTTTTTCTTCGAAATTCAAAAGTTGAATGTTTTAAAAAAAAACAAGTCCGTTTTTTTTTCAGTTTCCTTGCATTCATTTCTCTTTTCCAACTGTCAGTTGGCTATGTTTTGAAATTACGCATTTCGTCTCGCATCATTATAACAAATTCATTTAAGAACATACACGTACCACCAGTTTTAGCTGGGGATCATAGGTGTATTTTATCCAGACAGGAAAGTTTTGGTTTACCAAGTCTTTTTTCAACGTTTTTCATTTTTTCGACGTTTATGATTTTTTTGTTTTGCCGAATCGCAAGTAGTGGGAAGCTCCGCTTCGCCTCTGTGTAAAAAATTACATTTCAACCCAGTTTTCTCCGAAGAGATTAGATGTTTAAAAAAAGCCCCAATCATAAATGAGCTTTCACATGATTTATTTGTTTCTTCGAAGCTCGAAAGCTGAAAGATATTTAAAAATTCAACCAATTTTTGTTTTGCTTGTATTCAGTGAGTTCAGATTTCACTTTCTATTGGCGATGTTTTTATTACTTTGTGATATTTAAAATTTGTGGCTCTCAATCACCTAGAAACAGTTTTAATATTAAAAGCAAACTTACATCACGGCAATTTTGGCAGATGTATAAAAAATTTCAACCGCATTATTTGGAGCCCATTTTTTGTGAAGAAATCCCGCATTAGCGTCAGTTTTTAATTCATTTTGGTAGTTATAGTTGTCCTTTTTTGTGTGATTACCTGTGATAAATTTCGAAAAAAAAAATGCTTATTCCTTTTGTCTGTATACTCCTATAAAACAGCAGGTCTCTCAAGACTTTCAGGTGGAGAGGATATACTGCCATTTTCCGTAGTCAAGATAGTTGGTTAAATATTTACGTGATGTATTACAATGGGTGGTAGGTTCATTTTGAATAGCTGCATGTCATTTTGTTTTACTTCGCACATTATTTGTAATTTAATTCAAAAGGCAAACTTTTTTGGCAAAAGTGTAAAATTTGAATTTTTGAATTTCAACTGGCAAAGTAATGTATTTACCAGTATATTTGTTTAATGGCAATTTTCTGGTTGCTTTAAATGAAGTGTCTGATTCAGGCCACAAACTTCCTCGAAAACGGACTCACCTTCGAACCCAATCAGGCGCTATTAGACGAGTCCAGCGAACTGTCTCTGCCCGACTTCAGAGGAGACAACAATGGATTCATCAGATCAGGTCTGGAAAATTCTAGCGAAAAGGAAAATGGATTGGACAGTAAAGCGTCACCGTCGCCTCTGATAAAAGACGAGACTCTCACGTCATAACAGAGATGACATAATGTTTCTTTTTCTAACAATTTTCTAAATCACAAATAATCTATTGCATTGATCAATTAGTAGCTCAATAATTAATATAAGTAGATTCCAATATCTCTTGATTTAACACTTAGTGCGACGGTTATTTCGGAAAACTCTGAAAGTTGCTGATGCCTGGGATAGAAATTTGGGAGGCGAAAGCTTTCAAGGGGTGTTGATGTAGGCCTCTGCTTCCAGGGCAACTCGGCGCGCTAATTTCATTTTTTGGGCGACCAGTCGTAACTTTTTCTGCAGCTGCAGTATGTTCTCATTTTGAAGAGTGCGCTGAAAAAAAGGTCACTTAACCAAAAGTTTTCTAAACCCGCCATCCTTGAGTAAATCCTAGATCAGCCCCTTGTACCCAGTCTTTTTATGGCTCGGAGCATTAAAGCGCAATTCGATAAAACTTTCTCAAAGTTTTAAGAACCGCAAGTCTTTTTCTTCAAATTGTGCAAGTTATTTGTTTGCATCTGCAGAAATAGGTTGGTCTACAAAATGAGTTCTCATTTCAGAAGTGACATGAAATAGGCGGACAATAATAGATCATCGACTGTGATAGAAAACGAGGTTGGAGTGACGTAGTATAGGTATTTACAAATGTATTGTCCAGGATCACACTCATGTTTCTATTTTGGCGATTTGACGTAGGATTTCTTAAGCTCGTATAGTATTCAAATACCTCATGGAAGGTAAATTACGCTTTCCAATAAAAAGTAAATGCCCTAAAAAATGGAGCTGGACTCTAATAGTTCTAAAAGTGGATTTGCTTAGCTCTTAGATTTCAAAAAAAAAAAATATCTATTGATCTAGTTTTCTCTGAATGGGATAAGAGCTTTAGTTTGTGTAATTTGTTCTATGATACTCGGAATTTGAATTTGTTTTTAAAACCTGTATTTTTTTTCTTTTGAACGCACAAAGCATCTAGAATCCATTGCCGAGCGAAACTTTGAGAATTTTTGGAGTTTGACCTGGGCAATAAATTTGTGAACTATAGCAGCAGAATGGCAGCGGCTGACATCTTGAACGAGTACACGGCTATCCCCATTGTGACCCGAATGTACACTACTGCCTGTGTAGGGACCACAATAGCAGTTCAACTTGATGTCATAAGTCCCTTCCAGTTATACTTCAACCCAGAGCTCATCATCTACCGATACCAGGTAAACTCAACTGGTTGGTGAAAACTCACCAGGCGTAGTGGGTGGGTGGGACTGTCGGAACTTAATTGCTCTCATTTCTTTTGCCTCTATCTTTTGTCTGCATTCGTGCAATTTTGCTGAGGGCAAGGCAACAGTCGTTTTCAATTATATATCAATTATATATGTTTTGTTCTCTGTTACCACACATTTGTACTTTATTATATAAGGTTGTTTTCAGTTCAGTTCGACTATCTCATCCATTATTTACGCTAGCAAGCAGCTAGTGTTTAATACAAACCTTTGTTTCTAACCTAGCTCGCAAATAAAAGCGTTCGTTAAAAGTGTTCACTCGTGCGCCTTTTTGCTATAATCACGATTGAAGCACGGGGGCTATTCTCATGCGATGGGGGCTTAAAATGAATTAAGAGAAGCTATATTTTGCTTCTTCCATAACGAAACCCTTGAAATATAAAATTTGTTCCAATTCGGCGGCGGTCAGTGACAATTTGAATATTTAACATATTTCTGCCGTTTTTATGTTCGGCCAATACCAATATTCAGTCCCTGGAAATGATTACTTTCTTTCCAAATTTTAGATTACTGAAATCTGATTGGCTGATTTTTGTTTTCGCGCATTCGGTCCTTCGCGTATGAGGGATTCCACCATCACGATCTGTAGCATTGGAAATTGAATAGCATCTGTTCTCGGCTTTATTTGTAGCTAGTGCTTGTGATGGACTAAGCGTCCGTGGCTGAGTGGTTAGTGCGTGAAACTCATAATTTCTAGGTCGCAGTTGGGCGGAGGTTCGAGTCGGAGACGTCTCCGAATTTTTACTTAGTCGAGGCTTATTTTTACTTTTTCTTATTGCACTTTCTAGAACTCTAGAGCTGCTTTTTGTCGTGTTCTCGCTAGTGTTCGCGAAGCACAGCTTCGCCTCTGTTGATGCTAGAGAACAGCTAGTGTTTTAGTACGAACCTTCTTTTTTTCTATCCTAACTCGCAAATGAAATTGTTCATTAAAACTGTTCACATGTGTTCCTTTTTGCTATAATCACGATCTATAGCATTGGAAATTTCATAGCACCTGTTCTCGGCCTTATTTGTGGTTAGTGTTTGTGATGGACTAAGCATCCGTGGCTGAGTAGTTGATGCGTGAGACTCATAATTTCTAGGTCGTAGCTTCGTGTCTGAGACATCGCTGAATTTTAGCTAATTCGAGACTTATTTTCACTTTTTCTTATTGCACTTTTTCGCAATAAAAGCTTCGCCTCTTCGCATGAAGGTTAGTTTTGCCTCTTGAGTTCCTTTTCTTGTAACGACAGCAATTGACAGCAGACTGAAGTTGTTGCATCGATAAACGTTTATCAACAGATCTGACGGTGCTTCGGTTAATAACTTATAATAACTTATAATAACTTTGCGATAAGCTAGGATGTTGCAACAAACTTTTTTCTCCAATTTTTGTGCACAGAATTTGCATGTGCATTTGTTACATTTGTGTTACTTGCTTTATAACTCTCGCGTGTCTTGTAATCGAGATCTTAACTTTTTCCTCGTAAGCCTGTAAGAAATCGTGTAGTTGTTTTGGTATTGAACCTTGGTAACTCCGAGAGTCTTTTTAACTTGCCCTAGAGGTAACGCGGTTGCGTTTAATCCCTAAGGTCTGTGTTTTGAGTCCCGGCCGCACATTTTTAAAATTAATAGCTTTGACGTTGTATATTGCCCTCGGTTTTCCGAAGATTTTTTGGCTAAAAAGCATTATTTGGCCTAAATGGTGTCAGTTTATGTTTCATCAGCTTAGTTAGGTTATTTTGTGTCGCATCACAGTCAGATAAAGATTTTTTAAATGAAAATTACAAATGAGTGCGGCCGGGACTCGAAATTCAGCTAGCTTGTGTTGCTAGTTTTCTTACAAGGTCTTATGGCATTTTTTTGCTTTCGGCTTAACGGGTGTCCACACACTTGTTGTCGGCTTAGTGGCCGCTCGGTAAATTCATAAAGCGTATTAATTGTGGTGTTGTGTTTTTCTGAAATTATTTTCGTTTTTACCAATTTTTTTCTTATTTTTTTCTGGTATTAATCTTCTTTTTTGTTATATCAATCTCATTTTTTTCACTAACTTGCAATGCTGTACTTGCGTTTTATAGCAAGTGATACGGAGCTCTGCTTCGCCTCTAGGTTATACATTCAATTTCAAGGCGAATTATGCGCTTTTGGAGGAGTGGTAACACCCATGCCTGAGACAACAAAGGCCGATTGTTCGATTCCAGATTTGCAGATTAAAAATTTTATGCTAATTTAGATTTTCGTCCGTCTGCTTATTTTTGTCGGCGCTTTTTCCGCCAAAGGATTTTTGGAGGTTTGGGATATTCTGGCATGCCGAAATCACTTTGCAAAGTTTCTAAAGGTTCACTTAATTTCGTTTTTTTTCGGCTTTTGTTTTGCTTTTTTAAAAAAAAGAAACGTTTTTAGAAGGTTTTTCTAATGATTTTTTAAATTTGTCTTTTCATTTGCTGTCAATCATAATTATTCATTTTTGTATCGCAAGTGGTGCGAAGCTGAGCTTCGCCTGTGTAAAATAAGTGCGGGTTTTACTTTCACCTAGTTTCATGATCAAGTAGTTTGCTGGACCTTGAGTCACATGTGTTAGCCACTATATTAACCAGTTGCGAATTAACACGTTATTAACCAAAGCAGAATTATTTTGTAGCATGTTTATTAGGCAAATACATGCACAGAAAATGTACCTTATGATTCAGTTTCTCAAATTAGGTTAATTTTATCGAAAGTGCCATTAATTGTTGTTGAAGTTCGAAGAGCTTTAAGGCTATATTTTTTTGAAGTTCAAAAGTTGTTTTTTGTAAAAGTTTGTCTTTTCAAGATTAATGAACGTAGTGAGTAGTATTAAATAGGTCTTGCTGATTTTTTTTTTTAGGAAAAAGTCTTAAAATTTGTTCACGCTCAATATTGATTTTTCGCGGCTTGACTTGTGATTTCTTTTTGATATCAGTGCATTTCTATTGTTAAAAGGAAAGCAAACTCCACTATCGAACAGCAAAATTGTAAAGATCACGAAAAGCGTGATCGACTTCTAATTTCGAAAATGAAATTAATTATCAGATTTCCCAGCGAAATAAAAATTTTACCTATTGATCCAGTTTTTTCAAATTGGGTTGATTTTAACACAAAAAGTGTCCATCATAAATTGTTCTACAAATTCAAAGAGCTTTAAGGCCAACTATTTTTTTCTTTGAAATTCGATTTTTCAATAAAGTCAGTGTTTTTTTTTGTCTACTTGCGTTCATTACTGTTTTTCAATCTTCGATTGGCTATGTATTCTGTTTCTTTGCGTTCATTGACATTTTTCTTGTTCATTGTCTGCTGTCTATGTTTTGTGTATCGAGGCTCAGATTATTTGGGGTTTGATTCTGAATAATGCCCCGTTTTCTATGAACCATTCTATTCCGCCTGTACCTATACTTGTTTCTCTAAATGATAACTTCATATATGTGATTAGATCTGGCGTCTGTTCACAAATTTCCTCTTCTTTGGCACCCTGGGTTTTACCTTCCTCTTCAACATCATCTTCATCTACCGCTACTGTCGCATGCTAGAGGAGAACAGCTTCAGAGGCAGGACAGGCGACTTTGTCTTCATGTTTGTTTTCGGAGCCACATCTATGATGGTAAACATACCAACTTTTTATTTGCTTAAATGTTTTTTCTTTGATAATTTTATGCGACTTATGCAAATTATGCAAATAGACCATCTGGAAAATTTGTCGAAAACAGTTAGAATTCTTTGGTGCAAACATCTGAAGTTAAGTATCTGCGCTTCTTGAATCATAGGTTTTTGCAAATAATAGAGGTGGTCTTTTGTTTTAGATCCTGGGCTATTTTTTCAATCTGTTGTTCTTTGGGACTGCCTTCACCATCATGCTTGTGTACATCTGGTCTCGAAGGAATCCCTACGTGCGAATGAGTTTCTTCGGAATCCTCAATTTTCAGGCTCCCTACTTGCCCTGGGTGCTATTAGGATTCTCTCTTCTCATGGGAAACTCAATACAAGTCGATCTCATAGGTGCGTTTTTTGTTAACTTTAATTTATGCAAGGAAAGTGTCATTATTACTCCGAGTTGAAGACGACTTTCATGCTACATAACTAATCCATAGCGCTTTCTAAAGTGATGATCTTTCACAATGTCATTGAAAGTAGTAAAGATAATTATCTAGGTCCTGTTGATTTTTTCTGAAAGTCTTGAAATTTGTTCACATTCAAATTTGGTTTTTCGCGATTTGACTTTTGATTTCTTCTTGGATTGAAACTCTGGTGCTAAAAGAAAGACAAATTGCGTTCTGCAGTTACAGAGTTCAAATGGTGCGAAAAGACTTGAATTACTTTTAGGATCAACTTAATATCCCTCTGCCACCCCCAGCTGTAAAATTTCCACCCCAAAATTTAATTTGGATTGAATTTGCAGTTTTTTTAATTGGTCTAGTTGGTGAAAAATTGTTTTTTTTTCTGTTGGCATTTTTAGTGAATTATATATTTTTGTTCAGGTATCTCGATAACAAAAAGATGGCGTTTTCGAGAAAAAAAGTGGCGTTTTCGAGAAAAAAGTAATAGTATCAGTATAACTTGTATAACTACACTAGCTTAGAAGCAGAATTTTGAAACAATTTGTGATGATTTAGAGACGATGAACGTTGTTCAGTTTCTCATATAGGTCGTGATGGTTTTTTATCAGGAAACTGTATCCATGTTCAAATATACTTTTTAACGGTTTGACTTGATTTATTTCTAAATTCAGTTCTTTGTTGAAAGGAAGGCAAACTCCACTATCGAACAGCAAAAGTGTAAAGGCCACGAAAAACTTGATTGACTTCTCATGTCGAAAACGGAATTAAATTATCAGATTTCTCAGCAAAAATATACCTATTGATCCAGTTTTCTCAAATTGAGTAAATTTTATCAAACAAAAATTCAACCATAATGTATTTTAAAAATTCAAAGAGCTCTAAGGAATCCATTTTATAGATCTATTATTTAGTTCGAAAGTTGAGATTGTTTCAAACATCAAGTGTTTTTTTGTTTTTTTTGCGTTCATTGACGCCTTTCCAACTATCTATTGGCTGTTTTTAAGAGCCGATGAACGTAGTTCAGACTTTTATATAGATCTTGATGATTTTTAATGGAAAGGTCTTGAAATTTGATCAGGCTCAAATCAATTTTTTGTGGTTTTAATTTTGATTTTTTAAGCTCAATTCAAAGGAAGGCAATTTGGATTGAATTTGCAGTTTTTTTAATTGGTCTAGTTGATGAAAAATTGTTTTTTTTCTGTTGGCATTTTTAGTGAATTATATATTTTTGTTCAGGTATCTCGATAACAAAAAGATGGCGTTTTCGAGAAAAAAAGTGGCGTTTTCGAGAAAAAAGTAATAGTATCAGTATAACTTGTATAACTACACTAGCTTAGAAGCAGAATTTTGAAACAATTTGTGATGATTTAGAGACGATGAACGTTGTTCAGTTTCTCATATAGGTCGTGATGGTTTTTTATCAGGAAACTGTATCCATGTTCAAATATACTTTTTAACGGTTTGACTTGATTTATTTCTAAATTCAGTTCTTTGTTGAAAGGAAGGCAAACTCCACTATCGAACAGCAAAAGTGTAAAGGCCACGAAAAACTTGATTGACTTCTTATGTCGAAAACGGAATTAAATTATCAGATTTCTCAGCAAAAATATACCTATTGATCCAGTTTTCTCAAATTGAGTAAATTTTATCAAACAAAAATTCAACCATAATGTATTTTAAAAATTCAAAGAGCTCTAAGGAATCCATTTTATAGATCTATTATTTAGTTCGAAAGTTGAGATTGTTTCAAACATCAAGTGTTTTTTTGTTTTTTTTTGCGTTCATTGACGCCTTTCCAACTATCTATTGGCTGTTTTTAAGAGCCGATGAACGTAGTTCAGACTTTTATATAGATATTGATGATTTTTAATGGAAAGGTCTTGAAATTTGATCAGGCTCAAATCAATTTTTTGTGGTTTTAATTTTGATTTTTTAAGCTCAATTCAAAGGAAGGCAATTTGGATTGAATTTGCAGTTTTTTTAATTGGTCTAGTTGATGAAAAATTGTTTTTTTTCTGTTGGCATTTTTAGTGAATTATATATTTTTGTTCAGGTATCTCGATAACAAAAAGATGGCGTTTTCGAGAAAAAAAAGTGGCGTTTTCGAGAAAAAAGTAATAGTATCAGTATAACTTGTATCAAGCAAAAGTGTAAATGTCACGAAAAATGTGATCTAAGTTCGTAGGTGGAAATTTATTTCCAGATATCTAAGTGGAATAAAAAATTAACTATTGATCTAGTTTTCTCAAATAGGGTTATTTTATCAACAAATGTCGATAATAAATTCTTCTAGAAACTCAAAGCGCTTTAAAGCCATCTATATTTTTCCTTTGAAACTCGAAAGTTGTGAATTTTTTTATAAAAAAAACAAGTCAGTAGTTTTTTTGCTTACTTGCGATCAATGAATCTTTTCCAATTGTCTTTTGGCTATGTTTCAGGAATAGCAGTGGGACATGTGTATTTCTTCCTCGAAGACGTCTTTCCCCACCAGCCGGGAGGATTCAGAATCCTGAAAACGCCTCGAATTTTGTAATTGTTCAAATTATTGAAAATTTTGTTCTTCATACCAGCAGCGCTTGTGCTAGCTTGAAATTTAAAACAGATATTTTCTGTAACTCATTGCTTGTTTGAGTCATCTCTCAATTGTTGTGGCTGGAAGTCTAAAACTTTTTTTGAATTTGTTTAAGCACGCTTCTATTCGACCCCATTCCAGAACATGACCACTACGACCCTCCCCCAGAAGAGAGGCCAGGGGGGTACAATTGGGGAGAGACCTGACCACCATAATGTCACTTCCCTGTTGAGAAAATAGACGGAAGGAATGCGTCATCATGCCCCTAGATGTTATATTACTGCTGGATGAAGAGGTGTTGCGTATAACGTAATAAGAATTTGTGAACTATAGCAGCAGAATGGCAGCGGCTGACATCTTGAACGAGTACACGGCTATCCCCATTGTGACCCGAATGTACACTACTGCCTGTGTAGGGACCACAATAGCAGTTCAACTTGATGTCATAAGTCCCTTCCAGTTATACTTCAACCCAGAGCTCATCATCTACCGATACCAGGTAAACTCAACTGGTTGGTGAAAACTCACCAGGCGTAGTGGGTGGGTGGGACTGTCGGAACTTAATTGCTCTCATTTCTTTTGCCTCTATCTTTTGTCTGCATTCGTGCAATTTTGCTGAGGGCAAGGCAACAGTCGTTTTCAATTATATATGTTTTGTTCTCTGTTACCACACATTTGTACTTTATTATATAAGGTTGTTTTCAGTTCAGTTCGACTATCTCATCCATTATTTACGCTAGCAAGCAGCTAGTGTTTAATACAAACCTTTGTTTCTAACCTAGCTCGCAAATAAAAGCGTTCGTTAAAAGTGTTCACTCGTGCGCCTTTTTGCTATAATCACGATTGAAGCACGGGGGCTATTCTCATGCGATGGGGGCTTAAAATGAATTAAGAGAAGCTATATTTTGCTTCTTCCATAACGAAACCCTTGAAATATAAAATTTGTTCCAATTCGGCGGCGGTCAGTGACAATTTGAATATTTAACATATTTCTGCCGTTTTTATGTTCGGCCAATACCAATATTCAGTCCCTGGAAATGATTACTTTCTTTCCAAATTTTAGATTACTGAAATCTGATTGGCTGATTTTTGTTTTCGCGCATTCGGTCCTTCGCGTATGAGGGATTCCACCATCACGATCTGTAGCATTGGAAATTGAATAGCATCTGTTCTCGGCTTTATTTGTAGCTAGTGCTTGTGATGGACTAAGCGTCCGTGGCTGAGTGGTTAGTGCGTGAAACTCATAATTTCTAGGTCGCAGTTGGGCGGAGGTTCGAGTCGGAGACGTCTCCGAGTTTTTACTTAGTCGAGGCTTATTTTTACTTTTTCTTATTGCACTTTCTAGAACTCTAGAGCTGCTTTTTGTCGTGTTCTCGCTAGTGTTCGCGAAGCACAGCTTCGCCTCTGTTGATGCTAGAGAACAGCTAGTGTTTTAGTACGAACCTTCTTTTTTTCTATCCTAACTCGCAAATGAAATTGTTCATTAAAACTGTTCACATGTGTTCCTTTTTGCTATAATCACGATCTATAGCATTGGAAATTTCATAGCACCTGTTCTCGGCCTTATTTGTGGTTAGTGTTTGTGATGGACTAAGCATCCGTGGCTGAGTAGTTGATGCGTGAGACTCATAATTTCTAGGTCGTAGCTTCGTGTCTGAGACATCGCTGAATTTTAGCTAATTCGAGACTTATTTTCACTTTTTCTTATTGCACTTTTTCGCAATAAAAGCTTCGCCTCTTCGCATGAAGGTTAGTTTTGCCTCTTGAGTTCCTTTTCTTGTAACGACAGCAATTGACAGCAGACTGAAGTTGTTGCATCGATAAACGTTTATCAACAGATCTGACGGTGCTTCGGTTAATAACTTATAATAACTTATAATAACTTTGCGATAAGCTAGGATGTTGCAACAAACTTTTTTCTCCAATTTTTGTGCACAGAATTTGCATGTGCATTTGTTACATTTGTGTTACTTGCTTTATAACTCTCGCGTGTCTTGTAATCGAGATCTTAACTTTTTCCTCGTAAGCCTGTAAGAAATCGTGTAGTTGTTTTGGTATTGAACCTTGGTAACTCCGAGAGTCTTTTTAACTTGCCCTAGAGGTAACGCGGTTGCGTTTAATCCCTAAGGTCTGTGTTTTGAGTCCCGGCCGCACATTTTTAAAATTAATAGCTTTGACGTTGTATATTGCCCTCGGTTTTCCGAAGATTTTTTGGCTAAAAAGCATTATTTGGCCTAAATGGTGTCAGTTTATGTTTCATCAGCTTAGTTAGGTTATTTTGTGTCGCATCACAGTCAGATAAAGATTTTTTAAATGAAAATTACAAATGAGTGCGGCCGGGACTCGAAATTCAGCTAGCTTGTGTTGCTAGTTTTCTTACAAGGTCTTATGGCATTTTTTTGCTTTCGGCTTAACGGGTGTCCACACACTTGTTGTCGGCTTAGTGGCCGCTCGGTAAATTCATAAAGCGTATTAATTGTGGTGTTGTGTTTTTCTGAAATTATTTTCGTTTTTACCAATTTTTTTCTTATTTTTTTCTGGTATTAATCTTCTTTTTTGTTATATCAATCTCATTTTTTTCACTAACTTGCAATGCTGTACTTGCGTTTTATAGCAAGTGATACGGAGCTCTGCTTCGCCTCTAGGTTATACATTCAATTTCAAGGCGAATTATGCGCTTTTGGAGGAGTGGTAACACCCATGCCTGAGACAACAAAGGCCGATTGTTCGATTCCAGATTTGCAGATTAAAAATTTTATGCTAATTTAGATTTTCGTCCGTCTGCTTATTTTTGTCGGCGCTTTTTCCGCCAAAGGATTTTTGGAGGTTTGGGATATTCTGGCATGCCGAAATCACTTTGCAAAGTTTCTAAAGGTTCACTTAATTTCGTTTTTTTTTCGGCTTTTGTTTTGCTTTTTAAAAAAAAGAAACGTTTTTAGAAGGTTTTTCTAATGATTTTTTAAATTTGTCTTTTCATTTGCTGTCAATCATAATTATTCATTTTTGTATCGCAAGTGGTGCGAAGCTGAGCTTCGCCTGTGTAAAATAAGTGCGGGTTTTACTTTCACCTAGTTTCATGATCAAGTAGTTTGCTGGACCTTGAGTCACATGTGTTAGCCACTATATTAACCAGTTGCGAATTAACAAGTTATTAACCAAAGCAGAATTATTTTGTAGCATGTTTATTAGGCAAATACATGCACAGAAAATGTACCTTATGATTCAGTTTCTCAAATTAGGTTAATTTTATCGAAAGTGCCATTAATTGTTGTTGAAGTTCGAAGAGCTTTAAGGCTATATTTTTTTGAAGTTCAAAAGTTGTTTTTTGTAAAAGTTTGTCTTTTCAAGATTAATGAACGTAGTGAGTAGTATTAAATAGGTCTTGCTGATTTTTTTTTTTAGGAAAAAGTCTTAAAATTTGTTCACGCTCAATATTGATTTTTCGCGGCTTGACTTGTGATTTCTTTTTGATATCAGTGCATTTCTATTGTTAAAAGGAAAGCAAACTCCACTATCGAACAGCAAAATTGTAAAGATCACGAAAAGCGTGATCGACTTCTAATTTCGAAAATGAAATTAATTATCAGATTTCCCAGCGAAATAAAAATTTTACCTATTGATCCAGTTTTTTCAAATTGGGTTGATTTTAACACAAAAAGTGTCCATCATAAATTGTTCTACAAATTCAAAGATCTTTAAGGCCAACTATTTTTTTCTTTGAAATTCGATTTTTCAATAAAGTCAGTGTTTTTTTTGTCTACTTGCGTTCATTACTGTTTTTCAATCTTCGATTGGCTATGTATTCTGTTTCTTTGCGTTCATTGACATTTTTCTTGTTCATTGTCTGCTGTCTATGTTTTGTGTATCGAGGCTCAGATTATTTGGGGTTTGATTCTGAATAATGCCCCGTTTTCTATGAACCATTCTATTCCGCCTGTACCTATACTTGTTTCTCTAAATGATAACTTCATATATGTGATTAGATCTGGCGTCTGTTCACAAATTTCCTCTTCTTTGGCACCCTGGGTTTTACCTTCCTCTTCAACATCATCTTCATCTACCGCTACTGTCGCATGCTAGAGGAGAACAGCTTCAGAGGCAGGACAGGCGACTTTGTCTTCATGTTTGTTTTCGGAGCCACATCTATGATGGTAAACATACCAACTTTTTATTTGCTTAAATGTTTTTTCTTTGATAATTTTATGCGACTTATGCAAATTATGCAAATAGACCATCTGGAAAATTTGTCGAAAACAGTTAGAATTCTTTGGTGCAAACATCTGAAGTTAAGTATCTGCGCTTCTTGAATCATAGGTTTTTGCAAATAATAGAGGTGGTCTTTTGTTTTAGATCCTGGGCTATTTTTTCAATCTGTTGTTCTTTGGGACTGCCTTCACCATCATGCTTGTGTACATCTGGTCTCGAAGGAATCCCTACGTGCGAATGAGTTTCTTCGGAATCCTCAATTTTCAGGCTCCCTACTTGCCCTGGGTGCTATTAGGATTCTCTCTTCTCATGGGAAACTCAATACAAGTCGATCTCATAGGTGCGTTTTTTGTTAACTTTAATTTATGCAAGGAAAGTGTCATTATTACTCCGAGTTGAAGACGACTTTCATGCTACATAACTAATCCATAGCGCTTTCTAAAGTGATGATCTTTCACAATGTCATTGAAAGTAGTAAAGATAATTATCTAGGTCCTGTTGATTTTTTCTGAAAGTCTTGAAATTTGTTCACATTCAAATTTGGTTTTTCGCGATTTGACTTTTGATTTATTCTTGGATTGAAACTCTGGTGCTAAAAGAAAGACAAATTGCGTTCTGCAGTTACAGAGTTCAAATGGTGCGAAAAGACTTGAATTATTTTTAGGATCAACTTAATATCCCTCTGCCACCCCCAGCTGTAAAATTTCCACCCCAAAATTTAATTTGGATTGAATTTGCAGTTTTTTTAATTGGTCTAGTTGATGAAAAATTGTTTTTTTTTCTGTTGGCATTTTTAGTGAATTATATATTTTTGTTCAGGTATCTCGATAACAAAAAGATGGCGTTTTCGAGAAAAAAAGTGGCGTTTTCGAGAAAAAAGTAATAGTATCAGTATAACTTGTATAACTACACTAGCTTAGAAGCAGAATTTTGAAACAATTTGTGATGATTTAGAGACGATGAACGTTGTTCAGTTTCTCATATAGGTCGTGATGGTTTTTTATCAGGAAACTGTATCCATGTTCAAATATACTTTTTAACGGTTTGACTTGATTTATTTCTAAATTCAGTTCTTTGTTGAAAGGAAGGCAAACTCCACTATCGAACAGCAAAAGTGTAAAGGCCACGAAAAACTTGATTGACTTCTTATGTCGAAAACGGAATTAAATTATCAGATTTCTCAGCAAAAATATACCTATTGATCCAGTTTTCTCAAATTGAGTAAATTTTATCAAACAAAAATTCAACCATAATGTATTTTAAAAATTCAAAGAGCTCTAAGGAATCCATTTTATAGATCTATTATTTAGTTCGAAAGTTGAGATTGTTTCAAACATCAAGTGTTTTTTTGTTTTTTTTTTGCGTTCATTGACGCCTTTCCAACTATCTATTGGCTGTTTTTAAGAGCCGATGAACGTAGTTCAGACTTTTATATAGATCTTGATGATTTTTAATGGAAAGGTCTTGAAATTTGATCAGGCTCAAATCAATTTTTTGTGGTTTTAATTTTGATTTTTTAAGCTCAATTCAAAGGAAGGCAATTTGGATTGAATTTGCAGTTTTTTTAATTGGTCTAGTTGATGAAAAATTGTTTTTTTTCTGTTGGCATTTTTAGTGAATTATATATTTTTGTTCAGGTATCTCGATAACAAAAAGATGGCGTTTTCGAGAAAAAAAAGTGGCGTTTTCGAGAAAAAAGTAATAGTATCAGTATAACTTGTATAACTACACTAGCTTAGAAGCAGAATTTTGAAACAATTTGTGATGATTTAGAGACGATGAACGTTGTTCAGTTTCTCATATAGGTCGTGATGGTTTTTTATCAGGAAACTGTATCCATGTTCAAATATACTTTTTAACGGTTTGACTTGATTTATTTCTAAATTCAGTTCTTTGTTGAAAGGAAGGCAAACTCCACTATCGAACAGCAAAAGTGTAAAGGCCACGAAAAACTTGATTGACTTCTTATGTCGAAAACGGAATTAAATTATCAGATTTCTCAGCAAAAATATACCTATTGATCCAGTTTTCTCAAATTGAGTAAATTTTATCAAACAAAAATTCAACCATAATGTATTTTAAAAATTCAAAGAGCTCTAAGGAATCCATTTTATAGATCTATTATTTAGTTCGAAAGTTGAGATTGTTTCAAACATCAAGTGTTTTTTTGTTTTTTTTTGCGTTCATTGACGCCTTTCCAACTATCTATTGGCTGGTTTTAAGAGCCGATGAACGTAGTTCAGACTTTTATTTAGATCTTGATGATTTTTAATGGAAAGGTCTTGAAATTTGATCAGGCTCAAATCAATTTTTTGTGGTTTTAATTTTGATTTTTTAAGCTCAATTCAAAGGAAGGCAATTTGGATTGAATTTGCAGTTTTTTTAATTGGTCTAGTTGATGAAAAATTGTTTTTTTTCTGTTGGCATTTTTAGTGAATTATATATTTTTGTTCAGGTATCTCGATAACAAAAAGATGGCGTTTTCGAGAAAAAAAAGTGGCGTTTTCGAGAAAAAAGTAATAGTATCAGAATAACTTGTATCAAGCAAAAGTGTAAATGTCACGAAAAATGTGATCTAAGTTCGTAAGTGGAATAAAAAATTAACTATTGATCTAGTTTTCTCAAATAGGGTTATTTTATCAACAAATGTCGATAATAAATTCTTCTAGAAACTCAAAGCGCTTTAAAGCCATCTATATTTTTCCTTTGAAACTCGAAAGTTGTGAATTTTTTTATAAAAAAAACAAGTCAGTAGTTTTTTTGCTTACTTGCGATCAATGAATCTTTTCCAACTGTCTTTTGGCTATGTTTCAGGAATAGCAGTGGGACATGTGTATTTCTTCCTCGAAGACGTCTTTCCCCACCAGCCGGGAGGATTCAGAATCCTGAAAACGCCTCGAATTTTGTAATTGTTCAAATTATTGAAAATTTTGTTCTTCATACCAGCAGCGCTTGTGCTAGCTTGAAATTTAAAACAGATATTTTCTGTAACTCATTGCTTGTTTGAATCATCTCTCAATTGTTGTGGCTGGAAGTCTAAAACTTTTTTTGAATTTGTTTAAGCACGCTTCTATTCGACCCCATTCCAGAACATGACCACTACGACCCTCCCCCAGAAGAGAGGCCAGGGGGGTACAATTGGGGAGAGACCTGACCACCATAATGTCACTTCCCTGTTGAGAAAATAGACGGAAGGAATGCGTCATCATGCCCCTAGATGTTATATTACTGCTGGATGAAGAGGTGTTGCGTATAACGTAATAAGAATTGAAGTGAAGAGTGTTGTAAAAAGATATTTGAGTTCGCTGTGGAATCTATCGTTGATTGTGCCTTATCATTTCACAACGGACTCTAAAAGAACACTTTGTTATAAAGTATCTATTATTAATAGAGATCTGAAAAATTATATTTAAAAATAAACTAAAATTGGTGCATTCATTTGGGTTTGTCGTCTAGATTTGGAGATAACTTTGCTGTAAAATGTTATTTAGCTTTCATTAGATTAATGTTTGTTGGATTTCCTTACGTTGCCTGCGTTTGAGAAAAATTTGCTGTAAGTTAAGATTTTTTTGTGAAACTACTGATATAATTTTCAGGCTCAGGTATGTATAGAGTTGCCATGTAAATAGCTTGCTTGAAGAAAATTAGAAGAAGACTGTTGACGATGACAGCCTCTCAAGTAGACGAGTATCGCAAATTGCGCAATCGCATCGAAGAATGGAACAAGACTCGCCTAGCGCTGTTTGAACTGTCTCTACCCAATGAGGTAAATTATTGACATTAATCTTTGACTAGGTTGTGTTCTCTTGAGGTTTTCGCGTTTCTAGACACACATTTTTTTGAATTAATGCTGAAATAGCATTATGAGTTGTAAGAAATTCAAGATAGTGCACCCTTGAAAATGGCCAGTTCATATGAAGAGAGTTTCACACCTGAAAGCTCCAGTATACAAAGTGTTGAACCCTGAGTTTATAATCTACATGAAAGTTGGGTTATTTTTCTGTACTTGCCGTGCTTTGTTAATCTAGAACCAGTTGAAAGTTGTTGATTGGTTGTGTGTTGGTAGAACTTGGAGTTCTTCGGAGTGATGCGTTTCTACCTGATGGACCAGAAGGAAGAAGTTCAAACCAAGTGTCTGAGAATATCAAGCAGTGCAACAACTCAAGATGTGGTGGACGCTCTGGTTGATAAGTTCCATGCAGACCTCAGGAATCTCACAGGACCATCTGAAGAGGTCAACCCAGAGACATACTCCTTGTATGAAGTGTTGCAAACTGGCGAGAGGAGACTGAAGCTGGACGAGTATCCACTGGTTGTGCAGGTAGAACAGATTTCTAAATAATATGCAATTATGGGATCTAATTTACAAGTTGCACCGCTAGTCAAAAAGGTAGTAGTAATTAAAATATTAAACTTCGAATTTACTATTTTATAATCAGATCTTATCGTTTTTGAAAAATCTACAACGGATGGCGGTACTATGTCTTCCTATGATAGGGTTCCCTAGAAACAGGCGGAACAAAAAGAAGATGGAAGAAAAAACATAACAGAAAAATTCTTAAGTCTTGTCATTAACAAAATTGAGGCAGAGCTACCTTGCTTAGATTTAAGTTGTCAAAAATTCGTGATCTCAGTATCATTCAAGCTTTGCTCAAAAATTTGGCTTCAAATTATAACATGTACGTGGTTTTCATTTTTTCCTTTATTTAAATTTAAGATTTCATTTACCGTGAAGTCTAAGGTTGAAATAATCCAGTTTCTTTTCAGTTGAATTGGACAGAAGACTGCAGAGAAGGTCGTTTTCTCCTGAAGGCCAACAGTTCTCTAATTCTGGGATCCAACTCAACATTGAATGGATCTAGCAGCTCGAAGTTGGACGGCGGTGGCAAAAAGAAGAAGAAAGACAGTGCAAGTGGTGGACTGACTCCATCGGCATCTGTGAAGAGTTCTCTATCAGAAAAGCTGTTTGCGAAAAAGCCAGAAACATCTTTCACCAAAAGGTTCATGGATTCAAATTAACGATAGAAATGACCAACGTACGAGCTGTTCGTTCAGCTTTACATCAAGCCAACATTGTGACTTCGATTAATTCTTTTAACATATAGACCAGAAATCTTTATTTGACTTCCAGTGACGAGTATGAATCTTGTTGTGCCTCGAACCCGAGTTTTTAAGAGTCGATGAATGTAGCTCAGATCGTAATGATTTTTTTAAGGAAAAGTCTTCAAATTTTGTTCAGGCTCAAATTTTCTTTTTGGCGGTGCGACTGATTTCTTTTGAAGTTCAGTTCAATTGCGTTCTATAGAACAGCAAAATTGTTAAGGTCACAAATTGTTAAGGACATCTTATTTTGAAAATGGAATTTAATTATCAGATTTCCGAGCGAGCGATATAAAAATTTTATTTATTGATCCAGTTTTCTCGAATTGGGTTATTTTTATCAAAAAATACCAATCGTGATTTTTTCTTGAATTTCAAAGAGCTTTAAGGTCATGGCATTTTAAAGTTCGAAAGTTAATTTTTTTGACAAAAAACAAGTAGGTTTTTTTTGCATTGCGGTCATTACTCTTTTCCAACTGTCAGTTGGCTATGGTTACAGTTTCACAGCTAATCTGCCGGGCTTGGTAAATTTAAACAATAAATGGGTGTAAGAAAACTGATTTGTGGTTTAACATTCAGTTTAAAAGCGAGTTGCTAAAAATTCCAGGTCTTTGGTGCTAATTGGCGTATGCATATTTGCAGTATCTGTGACAAGGATGCGGCCATGCAGCAGAAACGAAAGGAGAAAGTGGAACAGAAGATGCAGGACTTCACAAACGCAGACGGAGGACCAGATTCAGGTGGGCATCAGTCAGCCAACTAAACCTACCAAGACTCACTAAAGATAGATAATTATAATATCGTGACTAGGCGCTATAGCTATCAAAAGTCACCATGTTTTTACCAAAAGTCACCATGTTTTTAAATTGAGTGCGTCATTAATTAGCATAGACTTGAATTATTCTGAAACTGTTGAAGCTTCGGCAACATAGTTTGATAAATTTTCAGGGTCTTATTGTTTTCACAGGAGGTCCCATGAAGATCTATGGATTCAGAATCAAGGAAGAGTTTAACTACAAGTCCATTCTGGCTGGTTGTAGAGATACTGCATTGACCATTGTGGAACAAGCGCTGAAGAAGTTTGACATCGCCACCTCCGATCCCAACTTGTACTGTCTAGTCCAGGTGAAATTTAAATTCATCATCTTTTATTCGACCATCTTTTATTCGATCATTACGCTTGAAATTATATTTTTTTCTTGCGTTTTTCTCTTTTTTTTGCCCGTTTAAAATTACTTCTTAATCTCGTTTTTCAAAAATTTTGTCGTTTATTTTGTCGTTTTTCAAAATTTGATCATCTTTTTTCCTACTGTTTGTTATCTAAGTTGTTTATACACTAATTCTGAGTTTTCATTCTTTACCTTATGTTTTTTTATTTCAGTTTTTATTCGGTTGAAAAGGTTTCTAATCGTATTTTGGTTTTGTCGCCCGGCCTCGTATTGCGTCGTTTGAAAAACAATCATTAATTTTAATTAGTCTGTTGTTTCACCAATAACTCTGTTTTTTGTTTGATGTGCTCTGTGTGAAAATAACTCAATTTTCTATTGCTTCCGAGTTTTGAATGTGAAGCAAAAAATAAATCGAGTAAATTTCAGGAAAAATTGAAATAATAATTTTCGCTAAAAAAAATGTTTTTGTTTTTTAAATCCTATTTCTGCGAATTTCGAGCTGGTGTAAGTTAAATTGATAGTCTATATTTGCCAAAAAGCCATTGTTTCTTCACAGACACCACTTGTAAAAAAGAATGACATTTGGGGTTTTGATCATACTATTTTTTTTATAAAATGCACTGCTTTTAATTCATTGTTGAAATGTATTTTGCTTGTCATTGCTTTTTGCGGTCATTTTTCTTACTTTCTGTTCTTGTGTTGGAAAGGTTAATAAGTTTAAAAAAGTATCTGAGCAGCAACTGAGGAGTATTTTGTGTATTCAGGTGGTGGTTCCGAGTGGAGAGCGAGAGAGTGGCTACCAGAGCGGGAGAGTGAGGTGGAGGGAGAGATTCGTGGATGATCACGAGGTTCCATGGCACAACTTCACCACCTTTCCTAAACAAAAAGGTAACACCACCACCACAAAATTAACTACTGACAATGCTAGCTTCACTTCTACTTAGAAGTTTTTAAAAAAGGCTAGGAGACAGAGTTAAATTTAAAAAGCAATCTGCTGAGTCTGATCAAATTTAGCATGCAAATGTCAACTTTCAGGCGACCTTGAGACAATTTTTTGCATGCGAATTGTTTTTGAATATGATAATACAGTGCTGATTTAAATTAACAGGACATAACGCGTTAAACTTGAAATTTAAAACGCATTTTTCTCAAATTGGGTTGAGTTTAGGTGAAAACTTATGAAGATAAAACTTGCTTAAAGTTTTAGCAGAATTAATATCGTGTAATTTGTTTTGCGAAATTCGGGCCCAAAATTTTACCCCAAAAATGGGTTATTTTGGATTTTTTTAGTTATTCAAAAATTACGCCAAAAGCACCCGGTCGATCACAGACATAATTATATCAAAGTGAGCCCCTTACGTAGCCCAACAAATTTTATGAAGGGTATAATCTCCAAAGTATTGTATAATTTAATTTTTTTTTGTTTGACAGACAAAAAGGGTCATTTTTACTATATAAAATACCAAATTTTTATTTAAAAACTATTTTTAAACAAATTGCATTTTTTTTGTAGATTATACCCTTCATAAAGGTTGTTGGGCTACGTAAGGGGCTCACTTTGATATAGTTATGTCTGTGATTGACTGGGTATTTTCGGCGTAATTTTTGATTAACTAAGAAAAGCCAAAATGACTCAATTTAGGGGTAAAATTTTGGGCCCGAATTTCGCAAAACAAATTACACCATATTAATTCTGCTAAAACTTTAAGCAAGTTTTGTCTTCATAAGTGTTCACCTAAACTCAACCCAATTTGAGAAAAATGCGTTTTAAATTTCAAGTATAACGCGTTTTGTCCGGTTAATTTAAATCAGCGCTGTATGCTCTTTTTGATTACTTCTTTGTCAACGAGCTGCCAAAGTGTGGATGGAAATATCCGTTTTGGACAACAACGAATCTGAACAAAATTCAGTGCACAAAATTGCTCATGGGAATTGTCAAAATATTGAATTTGCTGAAAAAGTTCTCTTTTGGCCGATTAAAGCTCAAGGTAATTAATAGTGCCAATAATTTGCCATTAACTCCAAATCCAAAATTTTGATCAGGCTGCTAAAATGCTCAAATAGATTTCAATAGAAATAGCCATGGAGCGATTAAATAGATTCATTAGCTCGAGCGATGTTTGTAAAAATCTGTAATATTTCTCAATAGCACGGGTTTTAGCAAACATTCAAAATGTGGAAGCACCATAAATCAAAAAACGAATAGCCCATTTTAGATGCTAGCTGAAGCTTATCATGATGTGTTTAGGATCCCTAATGTTTCTTCTGGTGCAGAGACCTCCGGAAAGAATGAGACAGAAATCCGCGTCCTCTCATCGTGACCCTAACGTGTCAGGAATGAGTGGCCACGGCAATCGTCATTCCCAGAGCAGAATGTCTTCCAGCAGTAGTATATCGGCCAACAACCCTGGTGGAAGACCCAGAGACATCCAGGTTCCAATTCCAGGACCAATATCGCCGCAGATAAAACAACCACCGTATCTAATCGCAATACCAACCGGTAATTAAAGAAGTTGCAACAGTGTACGACTTTTTTCACCGTAAACAACTTGTTGACAAGATTTTGCAGATGTTTCATCTTGCTTCATATTAAATTAAAGAATCAATCAACCACCCAGCGCACATGCTTAAGACGAGAAAGGCTTGAGGTTCGAATCCGACTGGGACCTGTTTTTTTTAAGTAGACGAACTATCGTCAGTCTGTTTATTTTTGTCGGCTCAGTTCCGTAGCTCGGACTCTTTCAAGTTTCTTTATTCTTGGAATCAGCAATCGTGTATTGCAATCGGGTACTAGACGTTTTTTTACCATAAATAATTTTGTTCACTGAATGGTCATATAGAAATTGTAAATTAAGGTTCAGTTCATAATCACTTCAAATTTATTTGCGTCTTCGAAACACTAGGTCATACGCCTGGGACGGCAAAGGTCCTGGGTTCGAATCTGACGGGACCTTTTTTCTTCAAGTAGGAAAAATTCCGTTGCAAAAAAATTGTAAACTTATTATTTATCTGCTTGTGTTGTCGGCATAGATGCCAAATCGTAGATTTTGTTTGGCTGTACGCTATTCATACTGTTGTTGCTTTTAGTGTTTGAATTACTTCTGCTGTTGTTAGTTTTACTAGCGTTTGACTTAATTTTACGTATATTGTCTTTTTTGCTTAAAAGCAAGCCCAAATGATTTTGGCTTATGAATAAGAGTAATGAACGTAGTGAGTAATGTTATTTAGGTCTTGCTGATTTTTTTTCAGGAAAAAGTCATGAAATTTGTTCACGCTCAATTTTGATTTTTTTGCGGTTTGACTTGTGATTTCTTTTCAAGTTCAAAGCATGTCCATTGTTGAAAGGCAGGTAAACTCCACAATCGAACAGCTAAAGTGTAAAGAGCACGAAAAACGTGATCGACTTCTAATTTTGCAAATGGAAATTAATTATCAGATTTCCCAGCGAAATAAAAATTTTGCCTATTGATCCAGTTCTCTCAAATTGGGTTAATTTGAACAAAAAATTGTCCATGATAAATTGATCTACAAATTCAAAGAGCTTTAAGGCCATCTATTTTTTCTTCGAAATTCAAAAGTTGAAGATTTTGAAGAAACAAGTCTCAGCTTCCTTGCGTTCATTATTTTTTTTCTAACTGTCAGTTGGCTATGTTTGGTCGACTCAGTAACCTAATTTTGAGGTGTTTCAGGGGAACATAGCTGTTATTTGCATTTCTGGATCGCACAAAACATTTCAGATTTAAATTGAGTTTTTTGTCGGTTGAATAATTTCGTCCCAATTTTTGTCGGCCAAACTCCCCTATCGAGCAGCAAAAGTGAAAGTGTCATAAAAACGTTATGGAAGTCTAGTTTGGAAAGTGGAATTTAATTTTCAGATTTTCCAGCGAAATGAAAAACTTATCTATCAATCCAGTTTTTTCAAATTCAGTGGTTTATTTTTGCAAAAAGTGTCAATCATTAATTGTTCAGGAAATTCAACGGGCTTTAGGGCCATCTGTTTTTTTTTGAGTTTCTTTTTGTTTTCCCAGGAAAAAGTCTTAAAAATTTGTTCACGGTAAATTTTGATTTTTCGTGGTTTGACTTGTGATTTCTTTTGAAGTTCAGTGCATTTCCATTGTTAAAAGGAAGGCAAACTCCACTATCGAACAGCAAAAACATAAAGGTCACGAAAAAATTGATCGACTTCTGGTTTCGAAATGGAAATTAATTATCAGATTTCCCAGCGAAATAAAAGTTGTACGTATCGATCCAGTTTTCTCAAAGCGGGTTAATTTTTACAAAAAGTTTCAATTATAAATTGTTCTACAATTTCAAAGAGCTTTAAGGTAATCTATTTTTTTCTTCGGAATTCAAAAGCTGAAGGCTCTGAAAAAACAAGTCAGTTTTTTCAGCTTCCTTGCGTTCATTACTCTTTTCCAACAGTTAGTTGGCTATATTTTCAATTTTCGACCGTTTTAGAACAACTTTTTGCCCTTTTTCCGTGTTTGCGAAGAGCAGCAAGACTCCTAATCTGCAGGTCTCCGATTCCGGCTCATAGCTCTTTTTCTTTTTAAGGGCTGCTTTTTTGCTGTTTTTGTTTACTTGTTTTAGCGAAGTTGCAGCTTCGACTCAGTATCTCATCACATCAGGCACTAAATTGGCCGAAATTTGAAAAGGGATAATTTAGAAGTTTTATGAATCGTTGTTAGGAAGCTTCTGTGTTACTTGCACAGCATCTATCTACTCTTGCTAAGGATAGCATAACCTCGTTCAATCGGCTAAATACTTTTTTCAGGAGATCCTAGGAGTGAGGTGTCCAAATTTGATCTAATTTCTGACACAGTGGAAATCGGAGCGGATCCCAAAACACGCTATGTTGGAGGACAATTCATTCAGGTAAAACTAAACGGTACCGTTTTTTATGAGTAGAGCTGATGTTGTAGCCATGGGGCTAGAGATAATTTTGGGACTTTAAAAAATCAGACCGCAAAAGGTGATCTTTGATGACTGTCAAAAAGATCGATTATTTATTTTCAACCTGAAACATTATGTATGATTGCGTGGTTAGTTTGAGCGTCTTACGATAACATATTTTTAGTTATATGGACCGGGAATCAGGCCGCATCACTGCATTTTGGCTCAATCGGATCCCCAATCCTGGACTATTTCCCCCTCGGACAATAACTCAGAGCTATTCGTGAACGGACATGACATCTCAGAAACAGTCCTCCTTCCTCCGGGAGCTGTCATTCAGATTGGTCGCAACTCTCAGTTCCAATTTGTTCCCTCGGAGTATCTGAACAGAGCCCAGAAAAGCAATATCCCAGGTCAAAATGTACCAATAAGTAATCAAACGGGTCCCGGATCTAACGGTTTGGGGCATGCTGTAGGAATGGATGGAAGGTCAGGTCCGATGTCTGAACAAAGTTGGGGATCTCCGGAAGCTCTGGGGCCTCTGCGAGTTGAGGGAGACTTGAACGTATCAGTTCCTGCGATGGCGTCGCCTGTCTCGTCTGACCAAATCCCACACATCGAATTGGGACATGATCCCAATTTCAATTTCGCAGCGGTGAGTTTTAGTTTTTCTTTTGGATCGTTTGGTTTTTAGCCCCGACTAATAGATAGCAATTAAATACATGAGGCTACATCAGAAAAAAAAATTCGGAATAACGAAGTTCAAAACATTGAACCTGATATGCCCGGGTAATTTTCGGTGACAGTTGTCTTATTGTTCCCTTGTTTGCATGTCAGTGTGTGGACAGTGGGGAGACTAGTGCAATAAATGACGATGACCTTCCGGGGGCGATTGAGTTCGTGGACGAGGTGGAGGAAGAGTTGCTACACTATGCAGTCACCAGATTCGACGAAGTCATGACCATGTTCAAAGTGGCACCCGCTTTCCTATTTTACATGTGCTCCAGGTAGACATGATGAATTTTTGAGAGTCGATGAATTTTTGTGCTTTTTCTCAGGAAAAAGTTTTGAAATGCTCTAAAAACGACAGTTGTGCATGCATACATATGAATGCACATTGGTATATATGAAAATTTTGAGCTCAATTTAAATTCATCCGCTGAAAGATAGGTTATTTGCACTCTATAAATATGAACGTGGAAATGGAACGTGGACGACTTGTAGTTTCGAAAGTGGGTTTTTATGATTTCCTAGCATATTAAAAACTTTACCTATTAACTTAGTTTTCTCAATTTGGTTTAATTTTACCAAAAAAGTGCCAATCATAAAATGTTCTTGAAATTCAAAGAGATTGAACGCCAAGTATTTTTTTACTTGAAAATTCGAACGGTTGAAGCTCTTTCAAAAATCAGTCAGTTTTTTTCTGTTCCCTTGCGTTCATCGACTCTCTTCTTGGCTCATCGAATTTTTGCAGTTGCGTTTTTTGTTTGTATTTTTGATTCAACCACGTGATGAGTTCTAGTTTCGAACATGTTATTTTATTTTCAGATTTTCCGGCGGAGTAAAAACTTAACCTATTAATCCACTTTTCTCAATTTGGGTTGATTTTTTTTATTAACCAGGCCTAACCCGGAGGTTTATTTTTTAAGGTTAACTAAGCTATGGTTATTTTATAAGAACTCACCTTGTACATTGCAACGCGCGTGCGATTTGAACCCTCAATCATATGATTGCTGGGCACCATCACTACCGATGTGCTACAACGCCACCTGAATTTAAAGGCCATCTGTTTTTTTTTTTTGAATTTCGAAATTCAAACATTAAGTCTGTAGTTTTTTTCTGTTTCCTTTTGTTCATTGACTCTTTTCCGACTGTCTGTTGGCTTTGTTTTTTGTTTCCTTGTGTTCATCGACGTTTTCCCAATTGTCTGTGTGCTGTGTTAATTATGCAACATCAGACACCGAAAGTCAAATGTAATGTCAATTATGTCAAGTTAAAGTATCGTATACTCGACCTACTAGTCGTGATTCTAATTGGAATTGAATATTATTCCAAAAAAGTGCCCGATTTTATCTAATTAAGTCAAAAAGGCTCATATACGTGCTGTGCCTTAGGTGTATTATGCAATCTATAAATAACTATTTTTTGAAGTCGGCAATCACCCACCGCTATGAAAAAAGTGAAAATCAAATGATCAAAGAGCTAACTAAAAACGATGTTTTGCTAAACCTCAATCTATCTTCTATCATAGAGTCTGTTAGCCGAAAGTAGAGATAAAATAATGTTAAGTCAGCCAATCTGGATGGAAAATATACCAAAGGGGGAACCCTTTGGTCAGTGATGTCCATTTAAAAAAAAAACAATTTAATTAGGCTATAAATTTCAATTTATTTGAACTTCAGAATGTGAGTCCACGCAATTTAAACGAAACATTTCAATTTACAAAAATAACATTTCAATAACAAAAATAAAATCAGTCGGTTCTTGAAATGCGTAAATTATAAACAAGAAAATTGCGTTCAACCGTGTTTTATTTTTCAACTTTCCTAAACATCTTTTGGAGGCTTAAATTTCACGAAAACGCCAATGACTACTGAAGAAAGATCATGAAATTGAGTGATTCTTCAAAAGCGTTTTCAAATTAATCATTTTTCATGACTTGATGAGAAACTTTTTGGCTTGGAGTCCCTAATTTTTACGATTCGGCTTGAAGTCCCGTCTGCTCGATGTCCGGCACCTGTCGTTACTGTGCTTTCAAGAAAGATAAATGGGCAGACATATTTCTCGGAAACGAACAAAGTTAGAAACTATATTTCAATGGAACGAGTCGGAAAAGTCCTTTTTTTTGCACCAAGTGCAACAAAAAGTTACCAGGGCTGGAAAAAATCAAATTTAATCAGTATTTCTGAAGACCATTTGCGACCTACCCATCCACAGGAAAATCACGAAATTTTGGAGAGCAGAAAACACCCTAAACAATTGACGATCGGCCATAGATTTACTGCAGTTACTTCCCGGGAAGGCCAAACCGAAGAGCTAGAGCATCTTTTTGCAAAAACTAACTTATCAATTCAGATTTTTCGTGGAGAAAACAATATAAAACTTTTGGAAGCTATCCAAAAAATTGAATATTTGCCCGATTGGAAGACTATAGATAAAAAACTTGGCGACTTAGCTCAACAGAGATTGTCGAACATTCAAAATTCCTGCGATTACTAATTGCGAACAACCGCAAAAGTAACAGTAAGTAAAATCAATTTTGAATTCGCTTGCAGCTGGTAGACTGTTTTCCGCAGCTGTTTTCTCCGGCCAATGCAGAACGAGCTTTTTCAAAAGCCTTTTTTTTAACCGAAAGTAGGAAAAATCAGCTCAAGATAGAGAACATCAGGAAAAGATTGATTTTGAATTAATTAGAAACTGGCAAAAATACACTTCCAAAAAATAGTTTCCGAAAAATTTAAATAGATGTCAAACAATTTTTATAATTTTTGCGAAAAATTTGAATTTGATTTTTATTTTTTTAAATGGACATCACCAGGGCGGATCTAGGATTTTTTCGAGGGGGGGGGATGGGCGGATTTTCAAAAAATTTTCGAAAATTTTGACCTTTTTTTAGGTCAACCAAATTGTTTTCGGAGCTCTCCTAAAGCACTAAAAGAAGTTTTTTTTGGCCAAATTTTCTGTGCCGGTGGCAAATTTTTGAAAAAACAAGTTAAAAAAGCCGTTGTTGGGCACTTTTTGGAAAATTTTGACAAAAAAAATTGCGTTTTTCTTGGCGCGCGTTCCCCCTCAAAGTTAGTATATATTGGCGCCTTTTAGGATTCGTCACCAAAAATGGATTTCTTAAAAAGTACCAAAGGGGGACCCTTTGGGTCGGCAGGGGGTCGAATCCCTGAAAAAAAGCGTCCCAACGCCCCCCTCCCCCTAAATCCGCCCCTGGACATCACTGCCTTCGGTGGTCAGCTACCAAAGTGGGGAACCCTTTGGGTGGTCAGAGAGTCGAATCCCCAGGGAGGGAGAAGACCTCCTGAAACCGCTACTGCTCCTGGTACATAATATACCTAGAAAACTAAACTAAAGTTTGATTATCTTTCACATATAAGAGTGCTTTCAGTGATTTGGAATATAGACTCAATGCTTTTACGACCATAATGATCTTCAAACCTAATTGATAGGTATTCTCGTCAATAAGATTAGCTAACTCAGTAAAAAAAGGATTAGATTTGATTCAAATTGAGTTGCTAACTCTGCCCTCTTCTGGCGTGTGTGATGGATGATTAAGTGCTTTGAATTTTCGTAAAAAATCATGCTCCAAGACTTTTTAAATTAAAACGCCCTTTTTCAATGCATTCTTAAACTTTGTCAAACTTTGTATCGAAAGAATGTGTTGTATGGTCGTATAAGGTGTGGTTTAGGTTCCGCATTTCGGCCAAGTACAGTCCATCGATAGTGTTCCGTGTGAGAAAAGTGCAGTCTCTTCTCTCCGCAGTCAGCCACAGCATAGCAAATGTGCTTCAGGTAAGTCATCGTTGCAGGGGAGTCGTTGTAAAGGTAGAGTTTAAGTAAACCCTCAACATAAAGTTGACTTTCATCATTGTAGAAATTAATTTCAAAAGTTTTTTGTTGAGGTTTGATAAGATTTTTTTCCCGCTTTCTATATATTTCTTTAAATATACTTCTAAATATGACCAAAAACTATATTTTTATTGCCTCTGCGTATTTTTATTGCCTCTGCAATTATGAAGAGCATCGGAAATACTCGCCCCCAATTTTTTTTGAAGCTAAACTAATCGCTCATTAAATGCTCACAAAATGACTTGAGTTTTGGATGAATTTCTCTTTTGATTGGCAATATGCACGTTTGTTATGTTTGCGATTAGCAAGCGTCAAATCGGAATATGGACTTTTTTCAGGTACATACTTGTGTCACTGAATCATTTGATAGTTTGGCTCATAATTACCCTTGCGATTTTACTAGACTTTTCCTCCGTAAACAACTTTGTCCACAGGACTCGTCTGGACTCGTGGTACCTTGGTTCATCATGAATTCAATATTTTTAGTTTCTCCTGCACACTTAGCCTGGAGGTAACGAATACGCTTGGGACTCCAAAGTTCTCGGGTTCTAGACTTTTTCCCCGTAAACAACTTTGTCCACAGGACTCATTGAACTGGTGAAACCTTGGTTCTTGAAAAATTCAAATTTTGTAGTTCATCTTGCACGCTTAGCTTGGTGGTAACGAATACGCCTAGGATGGCAAAGGTCCGGGGTTGAATCTGACTAGGACCGGTTTTTTTAACGGTAAATATTCCGGTTCAAAAAAACGGGGCCTATTACTTGTCTGCTTATGTTTCATCGGCTTAGTTACCAGATTTAAGAATCGGTTTTTTTTTGCTATAAACAATTTTCACTGCAATTGCTTCAAGTGCTTTAGCATTTTTAAATCCGGTTGAATCGAATTTTTGTTTGTCTTTTTTATCGGGTTAATAAGTGTCGGCTTAATTCATATCGACCTAGTGGCCTCTTATTGCGTTCTTTTTGTGCGTGCCTGTGCTCTGAGGGGAAAAGGTACTTAAATATTTTTTAATTTAGTTAAGATTTTTTTTTCGGCATGAAAGGTTTCTGCTCAGGTATTTTCAGCTTAGTTTCAACATGGTAATTTTAAATTCTATTTCATTCGCCGTATCTGGCCTAGAGGTGACACAACTGTTTACGGCCGCTTTTTTATTGACCATTTTCTATTGACAAAAACGATTTTTTTTATTTAAAAAATTCCGTTGGATTTTATTCAAATTTGTGATGCTGCAGGTTTAGCCTGGAGGCAACGTCTGAGCCGGCTTTTCAATGGCCATGGGTTCGAATACTATCAGGGCCTGCTTTTTTGACACCAATTTGGAATATATCCACATGATAAAAAAAAATAATTGTGGGATTATTAAGAGGTGATGATTGTAGTCAGACTCTTATATAGATCTGGATGATTCTTCTTCTGGAAAAGTCTTGAAGTGATCTAATAACTACAGAAATGTATTCATACATTTTAAATCAATCATGAATACCCTTAGGTATATGTGCGCTTTTTGAGTTCAACTCAAGTTCATTTGCTAGAAGGCAGGCAAAATTCGCTCTCGAACTGCGAAAGAGGAAACGGCGCAAAAACGTGATCGATTTGTTGTTTTGAAAGTGAATTTTGTTTTTTAGATTTCGGAGCTTGATAAAAACTTTACTTAACACCCAGTTTTCTCAAATAAGGGTAATTTTATCAAAAAAAAGTCCCAATCATAAATTTTTCTCGAAATTCAAAGAGATTTAAGGCGGGACATTTTTTCTTTTAAAATTGGAAAGTTGAATAATTTCAAGAGTAATGAACGTAGTGAAAACTGTTCAGTAGATTTTAACCCATGCGATAAGCAAGGGTAGTGCAATCGGGTGCCAAATTTTTTTCCCTACAGAATGGTCAAATGGTTATCAGTATATTTTTTATCGATTAGTATATACGCATAGTTAAATAATAGCATGTTAACTGTATTGCTATTGTGTTTACGCTAAGAGTTGCCTTTTCGTATTTTATCAGATTCGAACTTTGTAAAAGCAGCACATTTCGGTTGGTTTTCAGCTCAATTGCTGTCGGTTGTAATTTGTTGGCTTTTTTAATCTTATACTTGTTGTATCGCAATTGGTGTGTCAAGGTTTTTTTCAGGAAAAAGTCTCAAATATTGTTCAGGCTTAAGTTGATTGTTTACGGTTTGACTTTTGGTTTTTCAAGTTCAGTTCCTTTCCACTGTAAAAAGGAAGGCAAACTACTGTCATACAGCAAAAGTGTAAAGTTCACGAAACAAATGACTGACTTCTAGTTTCGAAAGTGGATTTTAATGTTCGGAATTCCCCCGCGGAATTAAATATTTACATAATGATCCAATTTTCTCAAATTGGGTTAATTTTATCAAAAAAGCACCAATCATAATTTGTTCTTGAAATTGAAAGAGCTCTAGGCATATGTTTTTCTTTAAAATTCGAATGTTGAAGTTTTTCAAAAACAAGTCAGGTTTTTTTCTGTTTCCTTGCGTTCATTTCTCTTTCTCAAATGACATTTGGCTATCTGTCAAAAAACAAGTCTTTTTTTTCTGTTTCTTTGCGTTCGTTGACATTTTTCAACACTGTTGGCTATGTTGATATAAAGTTACCACAGCTCGGGATGTTTGTTAACAGGTTACGGGACGTTTGCAGATGTAGCAGTGTTTCCTGTCTGTTTTTACGCCTGAAAACTGGCATATATTTATCTATCGCAACTCCGCTTCGTCCCTGTGTATAATTTTGAGCTGAATAATTAAAAAGATCTGTGCTACTTTGCAGACACGTGGTGCTGTTGCTTGTGGCGTTGCAGTGTGGATGGCCAACTGCACTGAACTGCACCACTTCCTCCATCAGGACACAGTCCTATTTCAGTACACTGTCTCTGCCCAGCAACATCTCTTTCAACTCACCCGACTGTGTCTGAGGACATTTGTGAAGCTGGTGTTGCAGGAGATGGACTGTTGTATTGGCGCTTTCTTCGACTCCTCAGACAGAGATAGAAATACTCCGCCGGAAGGTTTGTCACCGTATCATTTCCACATCCTTTGAGTTTCCTAACTTTTAAAATCAAACAGCGGTTCAAATAGTCCAATAACTGTAAAATTGGCTTTGCATAATGGCTGGATACACAGTTTTAAGCATATATAAATTAGTGAAAACTGTCAATTTGTTAGGTTCCAATAAAACATAAACACACATTCTAATATCATCTTATAAGTGTTTTTAATAAGTCTAATAAGTGGTTTTATATTTTATTAGAACGGGGCGCGATCGGTGTCTTCTAATACAAACAGTAAATAAATTCGACTGAATCAAAAATAGTTTTTTCGTTTTAGTTGACCGTGAGATTGACCCTTCGCGCTCGACACATTACCTCAACAGATGGATCACCTCAGACATAGTTGGCACTCGCAATGAGGCACCAGAAATAAGTAAGGCCAAAATCATTGTCTTGAATCAGTGTCGGTTTTGATAAATTATCCAACCAAGTTAAAATATCAACATGGATTAATCATTATGAATTAAGTATCAAAGTGTAGTTGGTAGCATACGCCTTTGCTGTTGGTGTTGAATAAAAGCCAAACAATGTTTTTTTAAGAAAAAAATTCATTTTCTTAATTTTTCGGTGTTTTTGAGCGATGGCGTTTTAAAAAACGAAGCGATGGCATTTTTTTTTTACATCGTCAATCTAAGTTATATGAGATGGAGAAGAAAAGAGTACGCCGCTTTGTCTTCACACTGGCAAAAATTCATTGAATTCGAGCTCTTGACCTTCGGTAGTCGGAGCAATAAATTATTAAAATCATAAATATTTATTGCGCGAGTGTGTGTTTGCAGCCCATGCGATTGAGATTCTGGCGTCTGCGTGGGTGCTGTTGAGGAAGTGCAGAGTGAATGCGGCGCTGAATCTGCAGATATTCACTTCCATCTTGAGATACGTCGCAACCTTCATCTTCAACGCTTTAGTCAGTCTAGATTCTCATTATAATTTCTCTGCAGTTAAACAGATCACACTGCAAACAAAATGATGAGTTTGGGTTTCCTTAATTCAGTAGAATTGGATTTATGCAAACAAAAATGAGCGATGTGTCATTGAGCGAATTGAAAACTTTGTCGTGTAGTTTTTTCCAGGGGAGTCTTTTGGGTTCAATTCGAAAGCATTTAAGCAATGATGGCAAATTACGCTCTCCAATAGCAAAGGCAAAAATGTTCGAAAGTCATTTTTTAAGATCGATGAACGTAGTTCAGACTATATATAGGTCTCGATGATTTTTTTCAGGGAAAGGGAAAATTTGTTCAGGCTCGAACTTTTTTCGAGGTTTGACTTTTGGTGTCAATTTCAATTCAGTTCAGTTTCTTTGTTAAAAGAAGGCAAACGCCACAATTCAACAGCAACAATGTAAAAGTCGCGTAAAACTTGATCGACCTCTACCTTTGAACGTGTTTTTTACACTTGCGACTAGCATGAGTTATGTAATCGGAATGTAGACTTTTTTCGGGTTAACAAATAGTTTAACAAAATCAGTTGAATCACCCATGGGTGGGTGTTCGCTGCCTGGGTACTAAGTTACTATTAACTATTGGTTAGGTGGTGTTAATACAAAGTTGTGTCAGGGGGCATGAAACTTCTAAAAGTTTTCTTACAAAGTCAAGTTTTCGGCTCAACTGGTGTCTGCTCAAAGATTGTCGGCCTTAATTCCACTTTTTACAATTCTTCAAATTCTAATTTGAATTTCAGATGTTTTCCTTGGCATGTTTATCTATAGTTCTTGTTCCATAAAACAGGTATTATGAAAATATTTAGGATTTTTTTTTTACTATTTTTGAGACGCTATGGAAAATTTTATCACTTTTGCCAAAAAATCTGTTTTTTTTCCCTCAAAAATTGTTTTTAACGATTTTCAAAAAAGGAAAATCCATAGAAAGACCGCTTGCACTCTTGTGTGCCTGCATAATCACCTGGCCTTTTTTTGATTTACCACTTTGTCTACAGCCTTTGAAAAAATCATTGGGGGAATATTTGACCGATATTTGTGATTTTTTTGTTTTTTTTAAAACTAATGAGCCAAATCAGAGATTTTTGTATCAATGAGTACAGCGGACTTAAAAGGTCCCTTCCATGTGCGGCTACGTCCAAACTTTTTTACACATAAATTGATGAAGTTTTTTATAATTTTATAATCTCACAAACTTACCTTGAGTTTCTCAAAAATAAATCAAATGTTATGGGTTCAATGGAGATAACGGGTAGTTGGAAGTTCCCCTGTTTTAGAGGTCACTCCTAAATTTTCTACACAAATAGTTATCATCCTCGGATAAGTCAATTTGTAGATTTTTTGAGTATTTTTTATTCTAAATTGTACGAAATTAACTGAAAATTACCCTCACAAATCTGAGATGTTGTGTTCAATCCAAAGAACGGGTTGTAGGAAGCTCTTTTGCATAAGCAACTACCCCTAGTTTTTCCCACAAGATTTTATGGCCCTCGGAAAAGTCAGCATTTTTTTACCGTTTTTGAAACTTTGAATTTTCTCGAGAGCTACCCAGCCAAACCTTGGTTTTTTGGTGCAATCGAAGTTACAAGTTGGGAGAGTCTTCTTTGCAGAAGCAGATGCGTGCAATTTTTTAAGTAAATAGCTATGTTTCTTGGAAATGTCAACTATTTGATTTGTTGACAGTTTTTTTACTTTTCTCGATCAACATCATGCCAAATCTGTTATCATAAGTTTAATCGACACAACAGATTGTTGGTAGCTTACCTTTGTAATTTGCTACGCCTAGTTTTTGAAAAAAGTTATGGCCTTCAAACAAGGGAAATTTGTGAAACTTCGGCCGGTATTTGGAAGTTATTTGAGTTCACTCGAAAATTATCGTGCCAATTCTCAGGTTAAGTATTCAATCGAGAAACCCGATTTTGGGAATCTTCTCTACTTTACCGGCCACAAACTGCTTTTAGCTGAAAAGGTTTACAGATTTAGGAAAGTCTAGTTTTTGAATTTTAAACGTTAGTTTTTGATTTTTAAACGTTTTTTTCTTAAAAATCTCAAATCTGAGATGAAAAGGTCAAGCGGTTGCGCGATCTTTTCCTGCAGAAGCGTTTGCGAAAGAAACGGTTGCGTGAATTTTTTCTGTCGAAGCGTCTACTTTTTGTAAGAGAAATGTTATGTCTGTGGAAAAATTGTCAAATATCAAAATGTCGCTTTTCATTTAATTTAGTAGAGAAACAACTAAGGTTTCGGGCAGTCCAATTTTTGAAATTATGCATTTCGTACCTCATCAGTGTAAAAAATTCAAAAATTATCAAACACGTGTATCCAGTTTTAGCGGGCCCTAGGTGACCTTTATCGAGTTATACTAAATTTTCGGTTCACCTAGTTTTTTTCAACGTTTTTCATTTTTTTTCTTCATTGCATGTGATTGTGCTCCGTTTCGCCTCTGTGTTAATTTTCAAATTTCCCAGCGAAATAAAAACATTACCTGTTGTTTTTTTTACAGTTTATTATTTTTGTTTTCTATAGTTTTTTTAATACTCTATAGTTTACCTTATAATTTTTTGTAAAATTTGGTTTATTTTATCAAAGTGTAAATTACAAAAAGTCTCTATTTTTTTGTTTATATGCATTCATTGACTCTTTTCCAACTCTGTTGGCTATGTTTTTTGGTTTATTGGAGTTCATGGACACTTTGTTGGCTATAATCTCTTTTGTTTGTGAAGTGAAAGTACACTATGATGTCCGCGTTGTTTTTTCCTCGGTGGTCCAATAGCAAGTCTTAGATCTACTCATATTTTCTTTAGTCTCAATATATCTGGATAAACACTGGCGCTTGAGCTAGGTTAAGATAGATATCAATTTTAATCCAACCAGCCAGTCAAGTGCTTTGACCATATAAACTGCTCAGTTAAAATATTTATTTAGGGCTCAGTTATCATGGATCATGATTTGTGTTATCTAATATTTTATAATTTCACAATCCAATATAAAAGCATATGAAAGCTAGAAGTTGAATAAAATTGGAGGTTCAATCAGGTCGCAAAAGGTCTACCTTGTCTTATTTTTACGCTAAGTCTACATGCGCATGTCGTGATAAGTATGCATTAACACAGTCTGGTAGCTTTTCATTGACCAGTCGAGCATGAGTTTTTACTACATAATGGTAGAAAAATAACGCCGCCTTGTCAAAGCATAACTTTTCTCAGTTTGAATTAATAGTTTTCACAATTATTGATCTGTTCATTTTTTGCAACTTTGTCGTTGATATAATTCTGGAAATGTTCTCAGCTGAATACGCAACACCTGTGCTCTGTGGCTTGGGGAGAGAGGATCTCGCGAAGACTGAGTCGAATTGAGTCCTGGGCAGGAAGGGAGGGACTTGAATTAGCAGCCGAAAAGGAATTCACTAAACTGAAACACGTAAGCAGCTCTAAGTCAAGCACAATGTGGTTTGAATCAATTGAATGCGCAAACTTCGAGCAGTGTTGTTTTCGAAGAAATGTCTCTCCAATTGCAACCCACAGATTGTGACCCGACACCAGATATAAACCTCCTTTCCCTCCTCAAACTGTTCTTAATTACTTCGCAGTACATAATTTGCTGGTTACTACGAGTAATTTAGTACAGACTGCCATTTTTTCGCGCTGAAATCTGAGCTTTTGGAGCTCTTAAAAACAGCATATTTTAATGTTTTTTGTTTTAATTCATTTGGTATAAATTTTGGGTAGGATTCCTTGATAATCCTCTAGTAGTCTATAAACGTGTTAGATTACTTTAATTTGATACAAATTAGGTGCCTATATCATATTTTTTTTTTCAAATTGATATGAATTTAGGGTCTTTGTAACTTTGTTTATCTACTATTAAAAATAAACATTGGGCAACGACAATTTCTCCTTCTTTTCATTTTAGGCTTTATCTGTCTTGCGATGTGCAACGAAGTTCTCAAAAAGTGACGCGGAGTCTCTTGTTACGCAATGCAATTCCCTAAACTCCCTTCAAATCCACAAACTGCTCGAGAATGCCTCCAAAAGCGGCAGCCAAGTCCAGATGTCATCTCGCCCAGACATGAGTCCAGAGTTCATGGGCTGGTGTATCGGCTTTGCCAGAGATAAAGTGGACTCTAAACTGCAGAGAAATAATAAACAGGTGATTTGTGATTATCTCGTGAGATATGATTGATACTTTATCCTGTGCTGTGATAGCTGTTCAGAGAAATTTTGCAGTTGAAGTTGGGGCGCTTTTCCTCACCTATCCAATCTCGTTTTAATTTTACATGTTATTGTTGCCGGATGCGTAGTTTTACTATGTTAGGCATGAGACTAGCGTTTTAAAGTGTCAATGAACTAAGTGGAGACATTTTTTAAGGTCGTGTCGTTTTTTATTCGTTTCCTTTTCAGAAAGTCTTAAAAGCTGTTTACGCCAAAGTTGGTTTTTCGCGTTTGGAGTTGGATTTTCAATTCAAGATTGCTCAGCGGAACGAAAATAGTTATCGATTGACTCAGATTTCTTTAAATGGGTTATGTTAATAAAAATAGTGCCAATTACAAAAACCAATTACAGAAGAGCTTAAACGTGGGTTTTATCTTAAGATAGTTGAAAAGTAATAGAAAAAAAGGCAATAATTTTTCAAGCGTCGATGAACGTAGTTCAGATTCTTATATAGGTCGCGGTGATTTTTTTTTCTGGAAAATTTAAAACTGTTTCAGGCTCAAATTTTTTTCGCGCTTTGATTTTTGATTTCTTTTCAAGTTACGTTGATTTTCATTGTTAAAAGAAAGGAAAAGTCCACTATCGTACAGTGAAAGTGTAAAGATTATGGAAAACGTGTTTGACTTCTAAATTCGAAAATGGAATTTTGGATCAGATTTCCCAGCGAATCCAGTTGTCTCAAATTGGGTTCTCAAAATCAAATTAGTGTCTAAGAGACCTAAGGCTATTTATTCTTTTCTTTGAAATTTGAAAGTTGAGGATTTTCGAAAAGAAAGTCTAAAAAAGTAATTGTTTTTTTTTCTGTTTACTTACCTGTAGATCAGCTTGCGTTACCAAAGCGGGATATAGAACTAGATTCTAGATCGAACTAGATATAGAGCGGGTTGACAACTAGATTTAAAAAGGCAATTGAATCATTCGAGGAAGCAGTTAACACACTTGTTCAGATGGAGTGTCTGGCCAACAGATATTTATTGAGCATGTCTGCATTTTAGATTGCCGTTCTATTCAAATGTTATTAAATATGTTGTTTTAATAGAAATTCTACTGTTTAAATGGTTTCGGTTTAGCAGCCTCCAAATTCATCTTTTTAAGGCACAAATAGTTTGATAATCTATATTCTGCATAGGCAAGGTTGGGTCGAAGTGGCTTTGAAAGATTTTATAGCTAAATTTTTTGTAAGTGGTCGTCTTTCCAAGTATTGCCTGCTTAGTATCGCATGATTAATAGTAATGAACGTAGTGAGGTCTTGCTGTTTTTTTTGTTTTTTTTTCAAGGAAAAAGTCTTTAATTTTGTTCACGCTCTATTTTGATTTTTCGCGGCTTGACATGTGATTTTTTTTACTTTCAGTGCATTTTTATTGTTAAAAGGAAGGCAAACTCCACTATCGAACAGCAAAATTGTAAAGGTCACGGAAAATGTGATTGATTTCTAATTTCGTAAATGGAAATTAATTATCAGATTCTCAGCGAAATAAAAGTTTTACCTATTGATCCAGTTTTTCAAATTGTTTCAATTTTAACAAAACAATTGTCAATCATAAATGTTTCTACAAATTCAAAGATTTCAAAGGCCATCTAGTTTTCTTTTCGAAAATCAAAAGTTGAAAATTTTCGAAAAAAAACAAGTCGGTTTTTTTCCAGTTTTCTTGCGTTCATTACTCTTTTCCAACTGTCAGTTGGCTTTGTTTTTAAATGCTTGCTAGTGAGTGTAGCGTAATGTTACGAATTCCACTTTTTTATGCAACCCATGACTCAAAAGTTCCATTTATTTGATGTCACTCTTAAAACAAGCATTTAGCATAATAATTATATTTTTGTAGCTGGTTTATTTGTGACTTGAGTTCAAAGTTTGTAAGCGAATGTGGCGCAGATGCTGAGACTCGTGACTCTTAATTTCGAGGTGGGGATCAATTCCGGCGCAGAGCAGTTTTTTACTGGTTTCTGAAAAAACTTTTCTTGTTTTTTCTTTTAGTCCTTTTGAGGTCAATGAACGTAGTGAAGACTTTTATATAGGTCGTGATTATTTTTTTGCAATTAGAAAGGGCATTGCAAACGGGTACTAAATTCTTTTTCCGAGAAAAAACCTCGTTCACAGGACTCGTCTAGTGGTTGGTACCTTGGTTCTTAACGAATTCATTTTTTTAGCGTCTCTAGACAATTTAACCCGGAGGTAACGAATACGACAGGGACGGCCACGTTCCATGGTTTGAATTTGACCATAACCTGTTTTTTTTTCAAACAGAAAATACTCCGGTTCAAATAGAACTGTCGGCCTATTATTTATCGGCCTAATTTTTGTCGGCTGAGTTGCCACATCTTAGAATAGTTTTTTTTTGCTCTGCAATTTTCATTGTAGTTTCTTTTAGTGTTTTGATTTACTCCTGCTTTTTTTGTTTTTACTTCACTTGACTTCGTTTTTATTTATTTTTGTTTTTTCTAAAAAAATTTATTTGGCGCTATAAAATTATTTAGCCTAATAATTTTTTGGGTTAGTGAACTTATTTGGGTATTTTCAAGGTGTTCAGTTATTTTTGCTCCCCTCTGACTTGTACAAAATGCTAGTCTTAAAATATAAGTTTTTAATGGCAACAGTTTTAATATACCCAAGTTTCGCTGGCTCAGTTGCCGCTCCATCATTATTTTTGAATTTTCCTTAAACGCCAACGATTGTATTTCTGGACATGTTTCCTGGAAAAAGAACATCCTTTCAGACAAAAATTAGAAGTTTTTTGTGGTTTTTAATTTTTTTTTGCTTTTTTTATTTTTCTTAGTACATTTCCTGTTTGCTAGCCTACAATGCTATTTTAATGTGTTATCGCAAGTGGTGCGAAGCTCCTGTTCGCATTGGTGTTCAATTTTTTAAAAGAAAGAGTCTTAAAGTTTTTCTAGCTCAAATGTGTTTTTCGCTGTTTGACTTCTGATTTCTTTGAGTTCATTTCCTTTGTTAAAAGGACGGCAAACTTCTCTTCAAAGCTTAACTTTTCTTTTTTTTTCAATTCAGTTTATTTCTTTTTTAAAAGAAAGGCAACGTTTTCTTCATATTTTATTTTATAACCTTTAAGAGTTCGTTTTTGCCATTTTTTGCTTGTGTTTGCGAAATGCAACTTCCTCATGTTTATTTTCTAAGAGTCGATGAACGTAGGATAAGTTTTTTTTCCAGAATGTTGAGGCTTCACTATGTTTTTTGCGGTTTTTTTGGTTTCTTTTCAGCTTCAATTTTGTAGCTTTCTTTCCACTACCGAACAATGAAAGAGTAAAGATTACAAAAAACGTGATCAATTCCCAGCAAAATAAAAGTTTTAATTCTACTGATTTAATCATTTTTTTCGAATTGGGTTAATTTTATCAGAAAAATGCCAATCATAAATTTTTCTAGAAATTCGAAGAACTTCAAGGCCATCTATTTTATTTCTTTGAAATTCCAAAGATGAGATTTTTCAAAAAAAATAGTAAGTCAGTATTTTTAATGTTTTTTGGCCTTCGTTGACATTTCCAACTGTCTGTTGGCATTTTTTTCCGGTTTTTTTAGTTCATTGACACATCTGTTGGCTATGGTCTACTTTGTTTTCGCAGTAAAGTTGTACCAGATGCCAGCGTTATTTTTTTCTTTATTATTTTTTTATACACCATTAAAAGGCTCTAGTTTTTGAAAAATTGGAGTTGGTCTCGTAAATTGATTCATTTTCTGTGATGGTGAAGTGAAAAATTGTTCTGCGAGTACTTATGAGAGTCCTTTTTACCCTTGTGATAGCAAGGGTATTGCAATTGGGTACTAGACTTTTTCCCCGTAAACAACTTTGTCCACAGGACTCATTGAATTGGCGGTTCCTTCGTTCTTAAATAATTCAAACTGTGTAGCGTCTCATGCACGCTTAGCCTGGTGGTAACGAATGTGTCTGGGACCCCAAAGGTCCTGGGTTAGAATCTGACCAAGACCAGTTTTTTCAAACGGTAATTGTTCCGGTTCAAAAAAGTTTCGGCCTATTATTTGTCTGCTTATATTTTGTCTGCTTAGTAGTTTATTTTTGCTGTAAATAATTTTAACTGCAGTTTTTAGTATTTAAAAAATTCGGCCGAATCAAAATTTAAACTGCAGTTTTTAGTATTTTAAAAATGCGCCGAATCGAAATTCGGCTTTTCACATTGGTTGTAAATTAACCAGCTCGATTTCTTAAAATTTCACTTTTTTCTTCTTTTTATCGGCCTGAATTTCAGCCTGATTTATATTGATTTACTGGCCTTTTGTTGCGTCGTCCGGAAAGTTTTTTTTGTGCGCGTGTGTGAGCTCTTACGGGAAAGGGGACTTGACATTTTTTATAAATTAAGAATTTTTCTGAATTTTTTTTACGGCATGAAGGGTTTCTGCTCAGGTTTTTCGGCTTTGTTAGCGCTTGGTAATTATAACTTCAAATCCAATAAATTATTCGGCGCATTTCTCGTAAAGGTAAAACAACTGCTTGAGATGGCAAAGAGTTGCAGTTTGAATCTGATCGGGCCCTTTTTCGCAAACTAGAGTTTTGTGCTTTTTCGTATTATCGTTCGTCTGTTTATTTTTGTCGACTTAGTTCCCGTAGCTCGATTGTTCAGCTTTATTCCAAATTGTTGTAACCCCCATGTTTGAGACGACAGAGCCAGGGATTTTGTTTCCAGTTGAGACTTGTTTTTCTTGCAAATAGAAAGTTTTGACTAATTTCGATTTTTGTCTGCTTATTTTTGTCTGCTTAGTTCGGCATTAAGGTCTTTTTTGAAAACTTGGCTTCTGTATTGCATTCTGAAAGCTTTTTTTAGAGTTTTTATTGGTGCAGGCAATTTTGTTCCGGATAATTTGGCTTTTTGTTGAAATTTTAATCTACACACATCTCAGATCTGCACATATTTTCTCTTCTCAATAAATCTGTAGAAACACTGGCGCTAGAGCTAGCTTAAGATAATAT